CATTTCTGCAATCCTTTGAAGAGTCTCTTGTCACTCTGCAAGGGTGTAGCCAAAAAGGGAATGTTTTAGGGATGGGGAGCCTGGCCTTTTGCAAGGGCCTTCTGCTCTCTGAAGTGAGTTATCCACATGGATTGTCTGCCACTGCTGACAAAACCTGAAACAAAATTACTGGAGGTTGTGCTTTGTGTAGTCAGTTCTAAGAAATGTATTATTATTTTCAAGATTTTTTTGCCTTTAATTCCAGCTACAGCTAATAATAATGAATTATGGCAGGGCATATGGCATTTTTGCCTTTTCATTTGAAGTTCTCTGAGTTAATGTTCCCTCTGCCTCCCCTTGTATCATTTGTCCCCTGATGGAGGTAGGGAAGTTGGATCTAGAAGAATGTGAGTACTCTGGATCTGTTGTGTGAAAACTGCAGCATGGCCAGTGTTTAAAATAGCCCAAACCCATTGTTTGTGCTCCATGCACCCAGCTGGGGTATCCTGCTCCGAAATGGGGTCAGTCTGCACTGAATACTCATGGGGCCATGAATTAGGGGTTCCATGCCACCCTGGGTAAGGTCATGCTCAGGCAGCTGACATTTTAATCAGCATTTCATAACTAATTGCCTGGCCACAGCTATCTTGTTATCAATTAACATAGCCCTGAATGTCAGGAAGTAACTGTATCTCTCTAACTCCCTAAGGCTGGCTTCTGGGTCTGTGAAATGGCTGGATTTCCTCACAGGGATGGATTACATGTTTACATCTTCCCTGCTGCCGGAGTGTGTAGTGAGCATGACCCAAGTAAGCAACAATAATTTCTTCATGCTCCCTCTCTCTCCTCCTTGTCTTGTGTATTCTGTACAAGAGGGAAAAAATAAAACCCTTGTATGTGAGCTCTTGGAGCAAGCTGGAAGATATGCAGACACTGTACTGCCTGAATCCAAGAAATTAGAGGGGAAAAAATAAGCAACAGCATTTGGGAACCTTTTGAAAATGGACACTTTTCCAGACTTCAGGAAATGCCCGTAAGTGGATGGGATCATTTCAGTGATCCTCTCGGTCTGGAGAGCCCTGCCATCTCAAGCTGGAGAATATCTCTGTCATCAGCAGAAGGCCTCTCACCAAACTTGCTCCTCTTCAGTCCAGCTTTTAACATCTGATAGTCTGGAACGTGAGACTCTCCATGTTAGGATAAATTTGACCCGCTCGCAAAACTAAGCTTCTCCTTTTCTGAGGCCAAAGAGGCTACAACGTGGAGGGTGGTGTTTTATCTCTCTTAGTGGCTGAGAGAAAAGGAATCGTTGCGCTTCTGTTGTGGTCGGTCGCTGGTGGAACAGGCCATGAGGATGATCAAGTGAGCAGAGGGCTCTGTGGCCTGGCTTTGCTGTTCACCACAGGTGTGGTCTTTCTGTGTGTGCAGGAAGGTGGCCTACCCTTAGGTGGCTGCTCGTTTGCTCACTCGGGCTACGGAAAGGCAGAGCTTCTTTAAGGAAGTTTTCTGTCTGCATAAATACCAGAGCAGCTGAGAAGGGACAGTGCAGATGGTGCTGATTTCCAGAGGCCATATGTTTGGAGGGACCTTGGGTACTCCTACAAGAATTCTTTGTTTTCTCAATGTTCAGTTTCAAAGGTACTCTGGAGGTCTCCTCTTTGCAGGAGACCACTGCTTCCTCCCACTCGTCCACTCCTGACACGTTTTCTCCGTCCCCTCCTTCCATCCCCCGCTGCTCCACAAGCCTCACAGCTGGATAAACAGCGCTTGCAGTCACTTACAGCCCTCCAGTGCCTTCCAGCGAGGCGCCGGCACGGAGAGATGCTTCCTGAGCAGCCCATCGTGGGTGGACGGTCGTGCTGCAGCCCGCGTGCCAGCGCCGGCATTGCTCCGGTCCCAGCAAGATCAGGTTCAAAACACACAGGATCTGGAGGTGCTAATTACAAGTGTGGGTTCTCTGTCCGTGCAGAGCCGAGGAATTTGGTGATCTGGAAGCTCTGGGTCTGTCTGCTGGCTGGGCTTCGCTGTGGAATGGGCTTGGAAATGTTCACGGTAGCTTTTATCGCTTCTCTGTTGACTCATCCTTTCTGTGTTGACTGTTTATATGCAAAGGGGATCTAGCTCATCTCCTATGCAGCCCCACCTCTGTCTCACCCCAAAAGAGCCTGCTATGAGGGGAGGAGGAACCCCCAATAGGTGCAATTTGTACTTGTGACTGTCAAGATTGTTGGCTCCTGGTTGTTTGTGGAGCTCTTTGGAGTTTGCCACCAAGACCTGGCCCACGTGGGGGCAAGCAGGCCTGTTTCCACATGGTTGGCCCAAACTGGCTGGGCCTGCAAGACACACGTGACACAGGGACTACATGCAGTGGTGGTGTGGTGACTCTGCTGCAGTTCAGGTGGCTTTTGTAAAGGGGCCCAGGCAGCCTGGCCAACTTGTGGATTCGTTCTCTTGGCTTGCAGGGTTGTCAGCATCCCTCTCCAGGCCAGAGCAGCTCTGCCAGAGCTTTGGCCAGGGCCAAGCTCACCACACTGCCAACTGTTGGAGCCTGTTGAGGCTCAAGTATCTCCGTCCTCCTTTACCCACTCTTTCCTCTAATGTGCAGTAATTTACTGCTTGTATTAAGGATTGAGCCACTTTAGAACCTCTGCTCCACCTTGCCATTTATCACTGTGACAGAATATGACCAAAACATTTTGCTGAAGCTTTATTTTGCTTTGTAAAATCCCCTACGCTTTGCAACAGCTTATCCAGCAGCACCTCCTCCCTTCCTGCTGTCTTTAGGACATCTTTCCTCCTCCTCCTCCGTCTCCTCCTCTAGCCCATGCAAGATGATGTTGCTTTTGGAAATGACTCTGTCTGAGGGCTTCTCTTTCTCCTGGGTCACACGGATGATCCCGACATTTGAAGCCGACCCTGGATGGTCTCTCCCGGATTGACTTACTGCAGCCAAGACTGTGTCCCTGCAGCTCACTGATGAGTGTTTACATAAGACTGTGCAGTCCCCTTCACATAACCATTAATTTTATGGGGGGCACATAACAGAGATGGGCTTCCACTATTCCTCCTGCCTTTGATCTGTGTGGGGTGTGTGGCCCAGAGCTGCAGGCATTGCTGATTTACTCTGCTCTGTGGATGGAGCTTCTGGAGCAAACAAGAACTTGTGTTTGCTCTCAGCAGTATGGCAATACCATTACAGGCCGTGCTGCTGGCTGGTTGTTTTTGGGCTGTAAGGGCAGGGATGGCTCAGGGTTTGCATGTCCTTAAGTTTTTCTTTTAATATTAGCTCAACAGTTCAGTTCATGCAAACCATGAGTGCCCCAAGTCCACGCAGGCAGGTAGGTGGGTTATTAAGGGTCTGTAGTGTTGTTAATGGAAATAAAGTCAGTGTATTGGCAAGCTGCTAAGCATTGACCTTGTGATAGGGCACTCAGTCTGAAACAAAATCTCTCCAAAACAGTTCTCTCACAGAACTTTATTGTCATCCAAGCCAGACTTGGAAAACTCTCTTCTATTTTTTTTTTTTCTTTCTTTTCTCCCAGTCTGGCATAAATTAGGATTCCAGTATCAGTCTGACCTTGCCCTCCTAAATGAACTGTCTGATCAGAAGCTCTTTTGTTGTTTAGATTTGGTGTAGCAAGTACGACAGTGACCTCAGCATCAGCACCGATGGTGGGCCGTTGCCAGATCTGGGTTACCCCTGCGCTCCTGTCCTAAGTTTGATTTGAGTTGTTTTGAGTTGTTGAGGCTTCCAGCTGCGAGTGTTGACTTTAGCTCTGTCAGCCATCATGAAAGTGGTTATTATTTTTTGTATTTAACCAAAAGTTACTCTCTAGAGGTAACCTCTTCTGATAGACCACAACGAGCGCTGTGTCTAACAGTGGCATTTGACAGGGCAGTTTCAGGTCACTAAACCTGGTTTGAGGGAGTCATGCTAAGTGAGAGACTTCCAATGTGGATGATGTTTGTTCATCCCAGGTCTCCAGGTTCTTTTGTGGACTTTGGGCCAGGGGCATTTTCAGGATGACGACGTATTCCGCAGGTGCTCACCGTGACATCCGCCTGCCGTGCAAAGAGGAGGTTGCTGCCTCTTATCTGTCAGCTCGCCTGTTTTACTGCTTAGCCTGACTTCTTGGCACTCTGTGTGAAGAGAAAAAAAGAAAGAAAATACAATGTCTATAAAGTATGGAAAATGTAGAAACCCCTGACAGTTGTATGGTGTGTCTTGCTTCTCCCACAGAGAGGAAACCACAAAATAGCGAGTCCGGGGGTTTCTTTCCACACACACAATATCTGTCAGGATTTTGAGGAATTTTCTGGGAACTGATGAAAGAAATGTGCTGTTTAAGCCCTGATATATATTGTACAACCATTCTGTGTGAAGGAGATGCAGTGCTCCACACTGGCAGGTTCCAAAAAAGATTTCCAAAATAAAAGAAACTCAATGGATTTGAGGGAATCTTTTCTGAGAGGGCAGATTGGCTTCTATGGAATCGGAGGCAGAAGAAAGGTGAAAATTTGCTTGTATTAAAGAGAAAAGATACCTGATGTCTTTAATAGCTGTAGTTTCCACCTTTGCACGAACACCAATGCTGGTGGGAAATGGGTAGGAATTTTAGCAGCAAAGGGGCTCTTGCCTCCTCAGATTCAACTTTCTCAGCCCCCAGGAGTGGGCGGGATGTGGAGTCATACAAATAACAAGTTCCCCACTCTCATGTGTGCCTGAGGACCAGAACTGAGTTTGACAGTGTCAAGAGCTTGTCTTGCATGGTCTTCCCAACACAGGGCTTGGGCAGGGCTGTCAGAGGCTGCCCTGCACTCACTGCAGGTTGTTATTAGCAGCTGCTAATCATGGGGATACCTTAATGAACAAGCAGGGAGCTGGTGAAAGTGCATCAGCAAATGGGAGCAGCCTGAGGATTAAGCCCAAAAGAGGGTGCAATGTTTTTTTTTCTACTCTTCTTGTTAGGATTTATTGCATTTAAAAATTAATTTTTGTTTATTTTTCTTCTCTCTTTCAGGTCCGCCTGTAAGTACCAAACCTCTACAGTTTTAGAAGCTGCTGACGCAGAGTCTGTGGGGCATGAACTTGCAGCCTCCTGTCTGTGGTGTCTGGTGTGGTAGCCACCTTTGCAGTCCTGACGGCCTGGGCTATCCCAAACAGCAAGTACTGTGGGAGCTCAGGGCTGGATTGGGGTGGGATTGCTCTTGGGCTGCAGCTCAGCCTCTGAGGGGGAGCTGGTGGGAGCGCAGGGATGGGGACATTGCAGATTGACGTGGTGCTGCAGAGATCCGTGTGTTACCAGTTGGCTCCACTCTGGGGGAACCAGCTGTATTCCCTTCACATGCATGGGATGCCACGTGCTGAATGAGATGTGTTTGCAGAAAAGGGAAAGACAGATCACAAACATATGAGGAGCTGAGCTGGAGGGACTTGCTCCCTGCTACTCACCCAGGCTGGCTGAACTGCCGGGCCTTCAAGTATAGCTGCGCAGCTATCAATTTCACAGGAAAAATTGTGTTGACAGCTTCCCTTTCAAATGTTAGCTAATGTAAAACCTCAGTGCAGACAATTTAGGCTTCAGGAAAATAGCTAGGTTATTGCAGAAATTTTCTTGCAGCTATTACAAGACCCACAGTGAACCAGAAGCAGCCGTGCAAGGACCGAAGGCAATGTATCGATAGCTCTCAGGATTATAAAGAAACGCTGCCTTGTCTCTAGCAGGGCCCTTCCAGAGGAAATGGTTTATATTCGTGTACAATAGAGGGACTATTCAGGGTTTCTGTGAAGGAACATGAGAAGTTAAACATACGGTAGTCATCTTTTGTCTGTTCACGCAAAAATGCCTTAAACAGTTTGCAGATGACGTTCTGAGCAGTAGTTGCTGCACAATCTATTTTCTTTCCCCTTTCATCAGGCTGAAATGCTATAGACTGAACTCCCACAGATATACGAGCACAGACCTATTTAATGACAGCAATCTTCCAGAAAGTTGCACCTTCTAGGCCAAAAGGTCTGAAAGCGTTTCACAGCTGGAAACCCTGATCCACACAAAACTTCGGCGATAGCTTATCCCAGGGGCTTTCAGGACTGGCCACTGAAGTGGATGTATTTCAGCATTAGCTGTGGCTTTTTGGGAGGAGAGCATGACTCCGCAGGCAGCTGCAACTGGAGTCCCTCCATGGCTGTCACTTCACTGGGCAGCCTGTAGGTTGGCATAAAGGGGTGAGGTGGGCACAAAATTGGTAGTGGCACTGGCATTCCTATTAGTGCTGTGAGAAATTAGGGAGGAATCACTTGATTGACACAGTTGTCTTCTAGAGAGCAGTCAGTGCCTTTGTGGGATGAGGAAGACACACGCTCCAGGCTTCCTCTGCAGCAATAAGGGTTAGAAACCTAATATTGTAATGGGAGATTGAAGCCTGGCAGAAGCACATGGGACCACCAGAGAAGTGCTGACATTATATGCTACCATATCCTGGCTTGTTGCGACCCCTGAACCTGTCTCTGCAAGCAGACTTCTAGGACAGGATGTGAGGAATGCTACAGCCAATGGAAATAACAAGAGGAAGTTGGGCAGACTGAGTGTTCTTAGCCAAAGTGGAATTTGTCTTGGACTAGCAGGACCCTCATCTCATTCAGGACCTCTTGGGTTTCTGATCAGCTGGCGAGTGAGATCAGCTCAGTCACTGTGAGCAAAAGTTCACCTCTGAAGAGCTGAGTGAATCCTTCATGTCACCATAGGTAGTATTCCCCCACCCCTCTGTATTTCTCATGATTGAAATGGAAATGGTTTTATGAGCAGCAGCCCGGGCTCCTGCCTGGCTGATTGTCATACACATTGTTCTGGATAGTGACCCCAAAGCAATGACCACCCCACATCTCCCTCCCCTTTTTGTTTCCCAGCTTGCAAAAGAGCCAACACCCTTGTGACAGGGCTTAGCTCCCAGTGCTGGCTTTGGCTTGGTGTTGGTGTGGAGATGGGCAGAAATACTCATTAGAAGTGCACTAAGTACACTAAGCCCTGCTTGCAGTCTAGGACAACACGGATAAAATCCAGGGAAATGGATGAGCAACGCCACAGCAGCAAAAGGGAACTTCATGTTCTTCTCTTGCCCAACCAACACTTCCAGCCTTACTCCTGAAGTCAGTCAAGGTTTTGGTGAAGGCAAGGGCAACCCGCAGTCATGTAAGATATTTGATGAGATTGGGACTAAAAGGGGTGAAGGAAGGAAGGAAGTGATGAAATCGTGCAATAGTCCTTTTGCTGTCTGGACCACATCCGAAGCAAATGATCCTCTCACGGACATTTTCTCTCCCATTTCTGATCATGCAACATTTCTGTGGCAACTGCAGCAATTCCATACATGAAAAAATAATATTTAGCAGATGGAAACTAAGGAAGAAAGTCAAAGCCCCGTAATTAGCTTGTTCTCCGTGGACTTGCAGATACCTTCAGAGCTCGTGTGGAGAGCTGTGGGTAAAGTCGTGCCAAAAGGAGAGAAAACTTCACAAGCAGGAGATTAGGAAACCAAAGCAATCAGAACTGATGGTCAAGGAGTCGTGGAGAGTTTTTTTAACCATTCTGTTTCCTAAACCCTTCCATGTGATTTCATGTCTTTATTAAGCCCTCCCTTCAGAGTTCAAGGCTTTTGCTGTTTAGGTGTATTTTGTTTCAGGGCCTCACAGAAAGGCCACAGCTCCTGGTAAACACTTCATTATTTCTGTTTCATCCCCCCATTCTTTCTGTCTGGCAGTACTTTGATCAGGATGCCCCCAGCATTCATAAGGTGGTAGAAAGTAATCTTGCATAAAAAACGTGACATGGAATAGAGTATTCCAAACGGGACACGGCCCATACAGAGTAGGGACCACAGGAGCTTTGGAGGTCCAAACTTGAAGGGTAGCATAATCCTCGTGGACCCTGCTGTGTGTGGAAAATGCTACTTTTGAAGATGTCTTTCAGAGTCTGGTTGAAGAGGCAAAGTGTTCAGTGTTCTCACTGATGGGATTTGCTAGTTGCAGCAGGATTTAGAAGGCCTGAGTCACCCTGGGACAAATGCAAAAATCCATAATAACAGTATCTGCATCTGAGTTAGTCATGACTGAGGAAGGAGCGTGGGTTTTGGAATTCCAGCAGCATGATTTCCTGGTGATGGTTCCCTGCTCCCTGGGCTCACCTGGAGACTGCACCAGCCATAACAGGCAGTTTCCCAGTGAAAGAAATGTAAACTGTGCTGCTGGCTCTCCCCTGACTCAGGACAGGGGCTGCTGGTTGCCTTTCACGCTCTTTTAACTCTGATGTGGGAGCTGCAGGCAGCTTTTCATGACTTTGTAACCAACCTACACGGTATCATCCACCCACGAGAGCTCTTTCCTGGCTCCCTGTCACAGACAACCTTTCCTTATAAACATCTGGCATTTATTGGCCGCCCTACTGGGAGCTCCCTCTTGCTGTTATTGCTTGGAGGGCTGTAACTCTGCACAGTCACATACCAGACACGGGGCCATCATTTACCACTCCAGGTACTCACAGGAGACCTGACACAGCTCAGCCCTGACCTTGGGCTCTTCCTGCTCGGGCACCAGCCACAGCAGAGACAGAAGAAGCAAATTCAGCTTGTACCTCAAAAACCATGAGGGAAAAGAGCCTGGGCTCAGCTCTGGAGGAAAGCAGCATTTAAGGGACTACAAGCAGAGGAAAGCTCAGCATTATGTCTTCCAGCAGCCACAAAGTAATCCCAGGGCCAGATGCCCTGAGAGCTCCACTCACTGCTGGCACACAGAGATAGGCAAATATTAGCAGGAGTGAGAACCCACCTAAAACCCTAGAAGAAAGCAGTTTCCCATAATATAGCCTCAACAAAACTTAAAATCAAGCAGCTGTTCAGGGTTTCATCCATCTGAAAAGGGTGCTTTTGCAAAGTGTATATGGCTCTTCAATTTATCGTGACATGTGCTGTGTGGAAAGGGATGCCCCCCATACTGAACAGCCTCCCCAGCTCTGCAGAAGGAAGTGGCTAAACTTCCACCAGGCTATGGTTTGATCCCAAGCAATAATGTTTGAGTTTGGGATACACAGGTTTTGTGTACACCCAGAAGAACAAACAGAGCTAAGTGCCTTCCCCTTCCAGAGATTTCAGATTATGCTCACACGCGCTGGGACTGAACACCTGGGGAGGCACGGAGAGGTGGCACCAATGGAGCTGATGTCTCCAGCTGCAGAAACCAGAAAACCAGGTTTATGTCTACAGACACAGTCAGCCAGGGGCAGGAACATTCTGTTTTACATAAGGAAACCCCAAACATCGCTGGAAAGACAACCGAGGGATTATTATCACGTCATTTTTGCAAAATATAGAGCAAAAGCTACATGACTGCTGAAGCCATAATCATCAAGATCCTTTAGCAATGAGCTGCCGTCTTCCAGATCTGCACAGCCTTCAGTTTTGGAGACCAAGAATGCAGAGGGCGTAATTTTATTTTTTTTTTAAATTGCATAGTACAATTTAACTGTAAGAGGCAGCCAACTGCCTTGTAGGTAAGCGGGTGAAGAGAATTGTCACTGGCCTTCTGTTTGTGTGTTTACGAGGCTCTGTCCAGTGTCACCTGACCCAAAGTCATTCCCAAAACCACTGTTGGGATCACTCACATGCTGACAATGCACTGGGAAGTATCTCAAAGGGGTAGAGGACGCTGAAAACAGCTGCTCGTATGTCTTCTTCCAGACGTGCTTTTTCCTGTGTCAGCTTGTGTTCTCACAGTTTTCTCTTACTTCTGGACAGGACAGTATTTTCAAGTCTAAGAGAATTGTGTTTTAAAGTGATAACTCTATAAATAAATAGCTAACACCCAGATGACTTTGGTCAAGAAAGAGAAAAACGTGACAGTTGGCCGCTGCAGGGAGCCAGTTCCCAGGACCTGGATTTTATGAAGTGTTGGAAATAGGGATTGTACTTTGTTTGACTGGAGACTCCTGTCCTCCTTTTGCTGCCTAAATTGCTGCATGTAATTTCTGTTGTGAGATGTGTGGGTTTGTCATATGTGGAAATGAACTTGTGGCTCGCGCATTCTAGAGACCCGTTCAGGCACATGCAAACACTCTTTACTCTTTAACTTTCCCTCCATCTCAAAATCCCTGGACACTTGGGCCACAGTGTGAAGCTGCTGCTATGGCTTAGTTTAGTTGTGCTGTTTTAAAACCTTGCTTTTGGCCAGTTACCAATTCCCTTAATTTTGCCTTAATTGCCAGGGGGACAAAGGTGCGATGGGAATCCCTGGGCGGCCGGTAAGTCAAACCCTCTTTTTTGTGTGTCTTATCTTTCCCATTCTCTTCCAACCCCCAGGATTTGGGGGTGGGGGAGGGTGGCTTCCAGGATAATCCTTGTCAGTTCAGGCAAAACTACTCTCCCTAAGCCCCACACCTGAGGGGTTCAGTTTCAGAGCCACATACATCCTGGGGGGGTGTTTCCATTTCACCTGCTGTACTATCCAGGCCTCCTCTGGTTCAGCATCCCCCTGTTTGGGCGTCTCCCGCTGCCACCCCGTACGCCAGCTGGGCTTGCTAACCCTGGGTTTCCTAACACGCACCCCTGCTTGCCACTGGCAGCTGCCCCTTCCAAATAACTCTGCCCTGAGCAAAGGGGGCCATCCCCTGCCTGCCTGAGTGCTGTATTTTGGAGCTGCTCCTTGCTCAGGCAGCCCTTGGCGAGGATGGGGAAGAGGACTGGGGCAGGAGCTGAGGCCACCCTGCTCACCCCAGCCCCATAGCCAGGGTTGTGGGGTGGGAGGGCGTGCCTTTGCCACTGATTCCTGTGTTTGTCTCTCTCTCCCTTTCTCTCTCTCTTCCCTGCACCCTCTTGCATGTGGCTGTGACGGCTGCCACTGACCCAGGGACTAAAAGGGCAATCTGGAGAGAAGGTGAGTCAGCCCCTTGTAGCCTGTAGCACCCCCAAACTGTCCTCTTCTAGGGCCAGCCCAAGCTCCCCCGTCACAGTCATGGCCACTGCAGACAGCTTTGGGCTTCCACACCCCCTGGGCTGCCCCATCTTCCGTGTCAGTGCAAGTATATTTCCCAAATTCCTTCCAGGCCAGTCAGCCTCCAAAGATGCTGTGTTTCTTGTTTATGACAATTTACTAACAGCATAAGAGCCAGTGGGCACATGCAGGGCTTCCCTCAAGCCTTCCTGAATTTTAACCATTGACTTTCTCCCCCTTGGGCAGCTCTGCTTGCCCCAGCCGACCTGCAGCTCCCCTCTGCCTCCCAGGTTCGCCTGATCCCTGGTGCAGGTGGGAGCAGGGAATAAAAGTGGCGTGTCACACTCCTATTTCTGACACAGTGGGACTTCTTCCTCCTGAGGAAAGCTGATGGGTGTAGTAGAAGTCTGTGGGACACCATCTCACTGCCTGTTTGCCGTGCAGTGAGTTGCAGTTTGTACCCACAAAGAAGTGCTGGTTGACAAAGCGATCCTACTGCTGTCCCCTGTTTTGAAGTGTTTGGCATTTCAGTGTTAGTATGTTTTCCCCAGAGCTGTGAGTACTTCCCACCTGTGAGAGCAGGGAAATGGAGGTGTTTGGGATTTGTGAATAACTGAATAACAATGTGTAGAAATTAAAAAAGGTATGGATATTTACCTGACAAGGAGGGTCATCTATGCAGTAATATGACAGACCTGTTTGATCTTCTTCATAACAGATAGAGAGAAAACCATGAGAAGGAAGGGTAAAGTAGGATAGAGATTCTTCATCCTTGCCTTCACTGTTTGCTCGTTGGAGCCAACCAGGTTTATCCAAGTGACCACAATTTCTCACCTGAGCCATTCTGCTTTTTTCTCTGCTTATCCTTGCATTTGTTTCTGGCCAGAATGTTCATGAGGGGACGGCAGATAGGTACAAACAATCAATGGAAAAAAATCACTCCTAATTGCCCCTGCTTCCCCAAAGCCCTCCATGAGAGCCTTAAATCTTTGTCAGTCCACAGCTTTGTTCTGTGGAGTGCTTTGCTTTCTTGCAGGCTGCTTGGACAGGATGCTCTGTCCCAGAGCTCCTCAGCCCTGGGCACTTCTGGAGCTGCCTCTCAGGAATACACTGTGTTTCCAGAGAGAGTGACATGTCCTGTCCATCACACGCTGTGGGTGGCTTGGAGTTGGAGAGGCAGCTGTTTCCTTTTCCAGCAAGCACTTTGCTTTGTTTTCATCCACATCTCAACTGCATTTGAGAAGTATACAAGTGGGGCATTTCTGGAGACAACCAAATCAGCTGCCCTTAGCTCCCATTTCCCTGGAGCCCAGCACATCCCTCTTTTTCTTTCTTCTGCAGGATACAATCCTCCTGGAACTTGCAGGAAGGAAACAGAAAGGGTTTCAGGTCATCTTTCACACTTGCAATGAGGCAGAACTTCTGTTTTGCCAGAAAGTGTTTTATGTGTTTATACTTCTCCTTGCTGCGCAGCTTCCATTTTCTGGCACATCTGAGCAGCTCTCAAGAACATCTTTTCTCCTAGATTGTCAGGCAGGAGCTGGGGGAGGCCAGAACAGCCCTGAAGATCTCACACCTAAGGCACCCTCATTTAACCCCAGTGTTGACAGGAATAAAGTTGTCTTTGTGTTTTGCTCTCCTGTTCTCACCCTGTTTCCTCTGCCTTGTCTCTCTACAGGGTGCTCCAGGAGAAGCTGGCATGTCTATTATCGGGCCCCGCGGTCCACCCGTAAGTGGCTTTTCTCTCTATTTTTGTCTGATGCAGGATGTGGGCAAGTTACTGGGAAAGACTTAGGAGGGGCATTAAGACTCAGCATCAGCTGGAAAGAGCAAAAACCCTGTATAATGTGGTTCCTGTGCTGAGCCAGCCTTGGTTTTATACTGCTATTATATACTATATATACTGAAATTATAGCTCATATTTCAGAACAAATGAGGAAGCCTTCCCTTGGCAAGGAAACTGAATTACTCCATTTAAAAGGAAGAAGCATATTTCCTTTTTGCAACAGGGCTGCTATCACTTTTGGAGAAAATTTGCCCTTTGCCTGGCTGATTTCAGCCTTTGGTTTAATCAGCAGGGAACAAGCCCCTTGATTTTACTGAAGAGCAGGATCAGAGCTAAGCCAGTGGCTGGGGAGCTCACAAAGACAAAGAGTAGCTCAGAGGTCTTTTGTCATGTGCCCAAAATCTTGGAAGCTCTTTGTCAGCGTGGTTACCGCTTATCTGGCTGAGAAAAGGCAGGATTTTTCACCCTCTTCCAGTAAAAGTGTCTCTGCAAGGTGCAACGAGTCAGCCAGACAAAACTTTTTACAAGGACAGGGTCATAAAAAAAAAGACCAAGATGAAGGGTTGGAATGTTCACGTGCCCTAAATGCTGGATGTGCCCCAAATGCTGGATGCTTCTTGCACTGCGCTGCAGCCATCAAGCCTCTGCTTTTGTGTGGGTGCAGCCAGACCTCTCCACTCCATCCCTGCACAGCCTCCACCAGAGATTTCCATGAAAAAAGACCTGGAGATTGAATTCTCCCCCTCCCAGCGGGCACTTCCGATTTTGATTAACCTGTGAAGAGCACCGTCCTTGACCTGCAGAGAGGATGGGCTGCTGGCAAGCTTTGTTTCACCACGGAGGTCAAGTGAGAGAGACCTAGGCACTGTGAACACTTGGCTACATCTGGCTTTCCAATTAACTTCCCAAAAGCCCCATGACAAGTGTTTCTAATAAAAAACAGCTTTGCCGGTCCCCAGACCCACCTGCCGGGGATGCTGGAGTTTGAGAAGCGACAGAACCAAAGCCCAGGACCCAAATGGGTCTCCCCAAATGTTTTATGCCTAGCAGATGGTCCCTGGCCACGTGTCCAGGCAAGGAAGAAGGGCTGAAAAGTCTCTCAAGCCAAGGTCTGAGCAAGACCACCCTGCTCCACAAACAGCAGATTTTGGAGAGTAAGTGCCCTGTTGCTATTTCTCACAAGCTCTTGCTCTCAGCCTTGTGAACAGTGTAATTATAGTAATCAGAGAGAAAAGCCGTCAGCTCCTGTCCGAGTAGGTCCTGCAAAGGTGACAGTTTTCTTGAAGGATACAGCCTGGGCTGCAGGACAATTTTATCTGCTTTGGTGCTGCTATGTTTGCTGCTGTTTGGGAGAGTGCAGAACACTTTCTGCATCTTTAAAGCAGCAGTAAAATTAGATGGCAAATGGTATCTAAAGTGGGGTTTTGCCTACACCAATCAAAGCCCTGAGGTGCCAGTACTGGCCCAACTCCACACTTTCCCCCTGCAAAGCCTACTGTGAAGATGATCCAGTTTCCTGGGGAGCTGGTGATAGGTCAAAAGGATGGCTGAGCACTGAAGACAAACACGGAAACCCTGGCCAAGGGGCCACTCGGAAAGATGTGGGATGACAAATAGTTTCCAGATTTTTGTTGGGAGGTTAAAGTTTTTGCTTGAGCTCGGAGCTGCTTAACTCCTGGCCAGAGAGGGACAGTGCGCCGATAGTGGCAGAAACAGACGGTCTCCATGATTTGGCAGCTCCCAGGATTACATACTTCATACAATCAACATTTTAAAAAGGAGACAAGGAAAACCAGCCACCCAACAAAAACAGTCTCTTGGAATCGCTTGCTGCTGAACTGTTGTCTTGGCGTGATACCGTGCAAATCATCCTGCTGTCCTCCAAGGAGAAAGAGGCAACAGTCTGTAGTCTACAGAGGAAGCCAAATTGCACCATTTCCAGGTTTTCCCCCTAATTCTTTTTTTAGCACTTTTTGTCAGGGAGGTGTCCAACAGGGAACCAAAATTAATGAATTCTGGCTAGGCTCTTCTTGCTTCTTGCCTTTTCAGAAGCCAGCGGTGGACAGATCCTTTAATTTATAGCCTATCTTCCCTTCTGGTCACTGGCCAACAGGGCCAGGTGGTTTTGTGTGTATCTTGCGAAGCAAAGCTGACCAAGTTCAACTTTGCAGAGCTAAAGAAACAGTGCAAATGTGATTAGGTCCTGCTAGCATTGTGTACAAAACCAGAACTCTTCAGTGTTCTTCAGTGATGTGAGGGATTTTGTGGTGGGGGCATCCCTCAAACCCTGCAAAGAGGCTATTTGGGCCCATCCTCTGCAGGGCTAAACCTTCAGCTGAGTCTCTCTGCAGACAGAGGGTGGTTAGAGATGTCAGCTGAAGGTGAAGGTTTTCCCTATCAGTGTAGCTTTGAGGTCTCCCAAAGGATTGTCATTGCTTCACTGTGGCAAACCTCAGCCTCCCAGCCCAGGAGGCTCATCCCCTCCTTCCCCTTCCCTTCCCTCAGTGCCACATGGGATCACTGTAGTTAAGGCAGAGATGCACCCTGTTTGTGCCCAGCTCTTTCCTAGGAAACCCCTGTGAAACTCCCAACAGTCTTGGTAGTTCAAATGGCTGAAGAAAGCATTTGATTCCCCAAAATCAGAGAACACATAAGGAAGCTGGGCAGTTTTGTGTCACAGCACTGCTTTCAGGATATTTACCTGACAAGATGCCACGGTGGTCACCTGATGAGCATGGCACAGGATTTATCCGGGTGTTTCTATCTCCATGAGTGTGCTTCAAGATCTGCTGAAGTCTGGGCCAAATGGACCATATGCTTCCAGACCTGGCTCATGCTTTTTTTGGGAAACAGACTGCAAAATCCTTAAGTGAAGTGGTATATATCTTGGATACCAACAAAGCTACGGTAACTGTGACCTAGGATGTCACAAAAATTGAAGAACTACATAAAATTAACAGCCAGGACATTTTCTCTTCTTTTGGTGCTCTTAAGTAGGGGATGAAGAAGCTTCCAAACACATCCCAAGCTGGTGTTTGCTGTACCTGATCCCAAACTGGTAGCCATAGCTAGCTAGCTAGCCAGGAAGGGGTTGGGGGAAAAGTCTTGGTGCTCATGTTCCTCTCATCACACAGCCTAACTCTCTGTCTTAGCTCTCAGAGGATAAAAAAACCCAAACAAAACAGAAGAGAGGGAGAGGGAGAGAGAAAAAAAAAAAAAATCATCTCCAGAATTATTTGTGAGGAAAATAAATGACCTAGGACACAAGGTGAGGGGAGGAGGAGGAGAGGGATGGTTGTATTTAGACAGCAGTGACCTGCAAGACTTGTCTTGCACAGAACAGCACCCTGCATTAAACATCTCAGGTTTATGGCAGCAAGAATTGCCATAAAATGAGCTCAGCCTCTGGAATATACTCCAAAAGCCTAACATATGGGCTAGGGAGACCCATTTAATTAATGTAGAAACTTCAAGGAAACTGCTTGCAATCCAAACTGGAGCTGCTCCAGCATTTTCTTGGCCCTGTACAAATTGGAGTGGGGATGAGAGATTTCCCCTCCCTCCCAAGACACTTTCCCCTTGGAGGGGAATTGGGTATCTCTTCAGAGAGTTGTAGGATAATTGGTCAGAGGCTGGAGGAAGGGCTCTGTAGAGAGAACTTAGGATCCATCAAAATTCATTTCAGTTCCTCTAAACTGCTGTCTCTGTTTCATCCTTCCCAGGGACAGCCTGGAACAAGAGGTTTTCCTGGATTCCCAGTAAGTGTAACTCTTAATTTATGAGGTACGGATGTGTGATATTACTAGGAAGCCTCATAAGTGCTTGCTGTATCTCATCATTTCTTCCTGAAACCAATGGCCTGATCTGATATCACTGGAAAAAGCAATTTTTTCTTCATTTGTTTTTCTGCTTTTTTTTTTTTTTTTCCTTTTCTTTTAAACGATATTTAGGGAGAAAATAAAAACCAAACCAAACCACACAACTCTGAAAGGAAATTAATTTTAAAAAAAAGCCCCAAGTGTTAAAATAACACAGTTAAAGCCAGATCTGTTCAGTGAAATACAACCATCCTAAGGAATACCCCTACCTCAAACAAAACAACCCCTAGGTAGGGGAAATTCCAATTTTAATGGAGCTTTTAGGTGATATTCTGATAGAACAAGTGCATGGGATCCAAAAAGGACCCTGCCTGTTGAGGGTCAGCTGGGGACTGTGCTTGGCTGCACACCCTGGTCAGGCCAAAGGGAAAGGACATAAGACACAAGGAGGAATTTTTCACCAGCACAGTTGCAAGGGAACAGAGATTATACCCAGGAGAGGACAAAGCAAATTTCATTTCAATCCTACAGTTGCTGGCAGCACTCTCTGAAGCACTGAGGCCGCTGAAGAACTCAAACAGTTGCTATTTATTCATATGCATTTACCCTAGACAACTAGGAAGCCTGAGGCAAACACAAACACCCCCCACATCCCTGCTCCCGCCAGGCAGCTCAGCTGCTGCTCTGGGATGCTGGATGTGCCAGAGCAGGTCTGCGGGGGAGACTCTCACGCCTGGAAAACGGGAGGAATTGGCAGCCTCCGAGCTGTCTGAGCGGGCTCCACAGCTCTGCCCGTTGTGAAAAGGGGGCTGTGAGCTGCCCCTGGGCTGAGGAGAAGCAGATCTCTCCAGGCCCTTGTGGTCTTTGGCTTTTGGAGGAGGCAGAAAACAAATTGGCCCACATGAGGAAGTGCTGGGTGGGACAGCTCTGCGGGGCCTGTTTCTCATCAAACAGTACCTTCAGCATGTGCTGAGCTGTATGTCACCTCTTCCCTGGGACATTTTCATTATTCTATCATTTGCAAAAATTCCTCTTCCCCCAAAGCTGGGTGCCCTTTTAAATCAAAGTCTCGAGAAAACTGCTGATGTTCAACTAGTTTGCTGAACACTGGGAAATTTAGAATTCTGAGATTTTATTTTTTGTAAATTGCCTGTGAATCCCTCCTTGCTTCTATTGCTGTGTCCAGCATTGCTGCTGAAATGTGCTGACAGCGAACAGGTCCCTGCTGAAGCAGTTTGAAATCTGGGCTGGTACTCTGTGGGCCAGGGATCTGCCAGGACAGGGAGGGCAGGGAGTCACCTCATGTCACCCCAGCCCATGCAGTCTCACGTCCTGGGGCAGATGGACAGACACCCCGGGGCAAGTATTTCTCATCATTTTTCCTCATTTTTCTTCTTTTATTTCAGGGCCCTATTGGCTTGGATGGCAAACCGGTAAGCAAAGAACTTCTCTGCAGGCTTCCTGCCCTGCCCCCTGCTAGGTCCCACTGTGCTGCCAGCCCTTGTCTTACACCCCATCTTTTAGGGGGATTATTTTGCAATGCCATGCACATGCATGGATTAAAAGAAAATAAGGAGGTTGGCAGGCAGGAGGATGCCACAAATGCCTTGGGAGAGATGCAGGAGTCAGGAGATTAAGGAAGGCACAGCATGGCCTATTCCTTTCTAGGTAAGTCTGTAAAATAGCAGTTCACAAGTGCAGCAGCCTGGCTGCTGCAGGGAAAGCCTTAGCAGGCACTCCCACCCAGCATCAGACAGGCAGAGCAGATCCCTGAGGTATCAGCCCTCTGCCTTGCTGCTGTGCTGAGAAGAGCTACAGTACAGGAGGGAAGGATGCTAAAGACCTCTGTGAGGCCTCCATGCTGTCCTTAGAGATTTGCAGTAGAAGCCCAAGTTCTTCCCATCCTTCAGAGAGCTGGGAGCAAATGAGCTACTTCTCTCTGAACCCCATGGACGTGAAACCTGTATTTCCATGCAGCAGCCATGTGGCCAGGTTCCCCACCACACTCCTCTAGTGCTGGAACACACTTCTGGCTTCTCATTTCCTGCAGCAGGACCCTGTTTTTGCCATGAACTTCACCCCCAAGAGAGATGAAGCTCTCTTGTTCTGCCCTGGGGACACACACTTCACCCAGCAGAGGCTGTTAGATCAAGATCATCGAGAGTCTGCAGTGGCCAAAGCTGATGTGTGTTTCCTTTCTTTTTCAGGGCCATCCTGGACAGAAGGGAGAGATGGTAAAAATACATATATTTGTCTGTGGGTGATGGGTTGGTTTGCAATGATGTTGTGCCTCAGCTGGAAACAAGCTCCTGGGCAGGGTAGCAATCTTAGCTCAGCTGATGCACTAGCTGCATCCCTAATTCTGTAACTGCATAATAGCAGTGCCGGGATGCATGCCTGTAATTTTTGCATTATGGCTATCACATTCATCATGTCACAGCAGCAACTCTCTAGTTAGGCATGGGATGTGTTTTCCTTGCAGTTAGCAATTATGTTCTTTAAATATATTCTGGGAGCTGACATTTTTCGTGGTCGGCCTCATAGGACAAGTAAAAGTTGATGGAAAGATTTCTGAAAACCCATCTGGCAGCTTTCAACTTATCTAACAACAACCACAAAAAGCATATTTTTTGTATTAAATGTGGTTCACCCCCCCACCCCCTTGAAGCTCTGTTTCATATGTGCATCTTACAAAAACGCTTTGGGTTGAAAATGATAAACTTAGACTGCACTTTATGGAAGCCCAGTGCTGTCTTGTTCCTCTTGACATCTCTGATGATGAAATCCCAAATATGAGTATGTTAAGAGAGAGGCTCTGTAGGCACCTTCGTTCACTTAAGTGTTGAATGTTTTCTTCTGCTAATTCTGTAATTCTGGTTTTTGGGCCTGAGTGTCAGTGTAGCCCTCTGGCAAGCACATGTTGAAGATCCCCATCCCCACTCCCCTGTTGCTCAATCCTAGCTCAGCCTTCAGTCCTGGCTGCTTCTGGTTCCATCCCAGCGCTGTCAGCTGAGGTCCTGGGAACAATAAGGGTGTGTTTTCCTGACGATTTTTCCCCCTCTCCTTTTAATATTTCTCCCCCGTGGTGCAGCCAGAGCATGTGTGCATTTTCACTCCTCCAGAGTAACAAAGGGAACCCGGATCTTTCTTGGGAATTTTCTTCACAGCTGTATTTAAAAGCTCAGTTTTTCGCCTACTCCATACTCTGTTTGTCACTGTAAATGGAAAACCATCCCATTAAATTCTGTGTTTCTTTAAAGGGTGCTGCAGGTCCCAGGGGACAACCTGTAAGTATCTCATCCCTATCCCATCTCTCCCCTAATCCCTTTCCCCTTGCATTCACTGAACTCCTTCATTTACTGAGGCCTTTTTTGATCACTTTTCTTTTATAGGGACCCCCAGGACAAAAAGGAGAGAAGGTAATTTCAGTGGGGGCCTTGTTAAAAATTGAAAGAGAGGAAGGGACTTGGTGCTGCTTGATCTGACTGTGGGTGAGGAGTACGAAGAGCAGAGGGCTTTAGGGGGTCAGGGACAGGAGGCAGAGTGCAGACTGGCATAACTGCACTGAGTTTGATACAGTCAAAATGATTTACACCTTCTGGATCTGACCCTGCGTGCCTATTTTGGCCGCCTCTGTTTGTGGTTTAAACTCTTTCCTTTTTAATCCCTTTCTTTCACAGGGTCAGTGTGCAGAGTACCCGCACAGGGTAAGTCATTAGCGTTATTATCCTCTGTCCCGTGCCTTCCTGCATGTTAATCCTCCCGCATTTGAATGGCTTTTTGTTGGAAGGAGAGATCGCTTCATTAAGGAGATGCGTCATCTGGGCCCCCAGGGCAGTGCTCGGCTGATTGATGTGTTTCGCAGAAAAGCAGCAGATAAGGTTTTCCAGGAGGGATGTTGGTTCTCCCGTCTGTTCCTGCCCACCGGAGCTGACCCCTAGATAGTCGCTGTCAATTCTGCTTCCTGGAGACCCCCCTGTGCTTTGTACTGGAGAGGGGAAGGTCCACGTCCTCGCCCCAAAACCCAGTGAGACCTGAGGGTTCTGGAGGATTAGAGGTCACCCACCCACCGTGCCTTGAGCTGCTGCACTGGCTCCGTGCTGCTTCCACAGCCTCTGCTCGGGTTGTGTGGCCGGGAGCAGCATGGGGTTTGAAGACCCGGGGTAAACTCTATCAACATTCCTCCCCTTTCCTTCTCCCTCATCCTGGTGTTATCCCTGCACAGAGACGAGGGCAAGGGTTATTGCTCCCTGCCTGAGGGTAACCCTGCACCCCCTGGCCATGGTGCTCTGTCAGGTCCCCAGCCAGCTGGTCCCCATGCTGGTCCCTGAGACTTTCTGCCTGCAAGGAAGGGGCTGAGCAGGAGGGTTGGTGCCAGCATCTGTTTAATGAAAGCCAGGATGTTGCCCCACCTGCCCCTTCGTCTTGGCCTGGCCAGCATGTGCCGCAGCCAAGAGTGGAGAGAGAACATCATGGGGTTTGAGGGGATTTAACCAGTTCTAAAAACAACCAGAGTGCTGAAAATCCACTGGAAATGCATTGGAACGACATCATATGAAGTGGCTGGAATTTGTAATCTGGGTGTACAGGGAGACAAGCTTAAGAGCTTTCTGTTTATTTTTGATGGGCCTCTGGATAATCAGCTGGGCTCTGGTCCCGGGCCCGGAGGGAGCAGGGCTGGAGCCTGGGGAGAGAGCTGGGCTGGCAGCAAGGGGAGAAGGGGGCCGTGGGTAAGTGCCAGTCCCCCGTGCAGTAACAGCCGCTCAGCTGTGTTTATTTAGTGAGACGGATCACTAGATTGTTATGTTAAAAAGAAGCCAACAACACTGGTCACCCAAGCAGTGTCCTGAGTTCCTGTTACAGCCCTTGGCTCTGACTGTCCTCAGCGCTCAAGGTGAAAAGCAGTGGCAGGACCTAAAGCAACTCCACTGGAAAGGGAGCTGGTGCATCCCTGGAAATAGCCTGGGCTCAGGCCTGGGGGCAGAGGCAGGCTGGTTTGGTGGGCCAGGGTTGTAGGGTGAGTGATGAGCTGCAGGGCTGTGACAGCGGGAAAGGGGTGGGTGCAAAGCCTCACATCCTGGCAGCGTTTCCTTGCCTCTCATGGAGATACTTTTGGTCTCACGAGGCACCAAGCTCAGCATTATAAAAAGCCCATGAGTTGTTCAAGGCTGAGACATGCTCACGGGAAGGGTGACTGTCCTCAGATCAACTCAAGGACAGGCTGTCCTGAACTGCAAGTTCAGGGAGCCAGAGGCACAGACCAGCCAGCAGAGGTGCAGTTCTCTTTCTTTCTCCCTGAAAGAAAATTAGGATGGGCCTTGTTGTAAAAAGGAGATGCTGCTGACCGAATTGCAATTTATTCTTGCTTTTCTGTTTGACAAGGTTCTTTATCAGATGTTCTGGGTGAGGAAATGAAAACCAGCATCCTGACAACCCGGGGATGTTGTTTCAGTTTTGTTTCATATTTGTTTTCTTAGGAAGGAAATACAAGGTTAGGGATATGAGCCTTGGCTCTTGTTGTAGTTTCCTATTTTTTTGTCTGTGTGATCTGTGTGGCCTGCACTGCTGTGAGGGATGAGCCCACACCTTGGGGCTGCCCATTCAGGGTGAGAGGGCCACTCAAGCTGCTGCAAAGTGCCACTCAGGGATCTGGGGGGGACCAGCCATGCTGTGTTTGCTCTCAGAAGTGCTGTCTGTGTCACTGACCCCGTTTGTCTGATGTGTGTTCACTGTTCCCCAGGAATACCTAAGTACCACACTTGCAGCCCTGCGCTCTAACCAGATCCTTACGCTGAAGGTTTGTGGGGAGCAGTCTGAAGGGACCCAGTTCTGATGCAAAGGCTCAAGGGTGCAGATCCAATATTGCATGCTGCCTTCTGAAAAAAACTTCCCACTGGAACACAGAGGGGGCAGGGCAGGAGCTGGGTGGAAGTGCCTTCAGATTTCTTCTCTAAATTTCCCACTTGCACCTGAATCCATTGCAGGGTCTTGTCTTGCCTGTTTTCAGGACTGGTTCTCCATTGTCATCCTTTCCAGCATCCTCCCTCAGCCTCCCTGTAAGCTGTATAATATTTAAGATACCCTTCAGCACTTGAGCAGCCAGGCAAAGCCAGCTTAGCTGGCTCTCCTGAGCTAAGAGACCTCCTGCACTGTCTTTTAGAAAGGGGAGGTTTGCCTGGGGATAAAATCAGCCCAGCTGAATTTCCAGCGCTGCTTTTGGAGTGATAGCTTGTGGCTGTCTGCATCAGTGCATTTGAGCACAACCACCTGATCATGATGCTGCAAAATTGGGTTACCACTGCTCTTTGCAACAGGACCGGATCCTTGCTTTCACTGCACACGTGAAGAACAATGTTTAAAGGGAATAAAATGTGCTGCTTGGAAGTGTATGTTTTCTGTGGTGGGACACCTGTGGGCACACCTCTGAGATCTGAGCACACAGCTCGCGTGGGGAAATGTCACACATGAGCATGTTTTTGTGCCCAAGCACAGAAAGGCTCTCTCACTTCTCCCTGTGTAAATCAAGAGCAGCTTCAATGGAAAACTGATAGGAACAGGAAAGTGGATCAGGCCAGAGCAGCATTCCTGGGCCTGGAGCCGGCATGGTGGGTGCCAGGGTGACAGCAGCATGCGTGCAAGTGGAAACTGGATACAGCAAAAGGATGAACAAATGCTCCTGAGCTTTAGTGCATTTGATTTCTGTGTGTCCGGGTCAGCGTTGTGCCCTGAGGCAGCATTCTTGGCTATAAGCAGTCAGAAGGTGATGATACTGTTGAGCAAGGAAAAACAAAGCACAGGCTGCCAAGGCAATGCCCTGCTTAGGTGTCCAGCTCCAAGGCCTGGTTTTCTCCCTTGGCCATGGTGGTTGTGTCTGCCAAGTGCAGTGAACCTGGCCAGGACCTCTGTGCTGACCCCAGCTAGCCTTTCTCCACTCCCCTCCACACCTGGAAGAAGGGTGACACCTGGAGATACGCTGTGTTTCTTGTAAGAGAAATAGAAAACTGCACTTGCAAAACTTTGAGGAAATGGTGATTCTGATATTTGCCTGAAATCTGATGATGAGAAGTTAAGAGAAACTTAAGAGAAAAGGAGTCCCATCACTGGGCACCCTAGCAGAGCCAGTGAGGGGATGTTCTTGCAGTGAGCACTTCCTCAGGAGATCAGCAGAGCTGGGTCAAAAATCCCCAAGTTGTATTTCCGAGCAGAGGAAGCTGTGAGAGCTCTGTGAGGTGGGAGCATTGGGGTGGTGAGTGGGCACCCCACGCCTGCCAGGCTGGCACCTGGTGGCTGTGAGCAGCACGGAGGAGCTCAGAGGTCTGCCAGCAGGTACCTGCCCCACGCCGCTCTCACGCCGGGCTCTGTTTTCATGGCAATCTCTCTGTTCCCCTCTTCTCTGTTCTCTCCCCTGGCTTCTCCCTGACTCTCGGTGCCCTAATGGCCTCCTTTGCCCTGTGACCTTCTGGTTTGATCTTCTTCAGCTGTTGCCTCTCCTCAATTCAGTGCGCCTGGCTCCACCTCCGGTCATAAAGAGACGCACTTTCCAGGTAGACTTCTCCTCCTTGTTGCCTGTTTCTGAGCTTATCCCAATGCTTGCCATTAATCAGCTTGCTACCTGTCTTTCTTCCCCTACAGAGGGCTTTCCAAGAGTTTCAGGCAGAGCTGAGAGACTTTCTTTAAATCAGAGGAAATCTTTGATGTGATAATGTTGCTAAAAAGAAATGCAGTGAAGCCAGTTTTTTGAACTAATAGAAATGGGCCATGAAGCTGTTCTTGGGGCTGTCGACAAGCAGCCTCCTCCCTTAAGGAGTCAGTTCCTGCATATTCAATCTCCAGAAGAGGTTGGAAGCCTCTTGCTGAAATACATCAAATGTCTGTGAAATTTAACTGAGATGAATGAATAGGCAAACGCTTCTTCTGAGGGCTAGTCTAGTCTGAGGCACTTGGGGAAATGTGTTTAAATAAGCTCTTAGAATGGTTTCATTAAATTGCATTAAATCTTTGTGTAAACACATTTATTTTGGTTTCCAGGGCCATAATTCATGTTCAGTTTATTTTGGGAATGAATTCATAAAGTGAATTACGGACATATGAATAGTGAATAAGAGTGTCCATAGTCAGAGTTCATGTGGCTTTTAATGAGCCACTTTACGCTCCCTCATTCCCTCAGTCGGGATTAGCTTTCCTGTGTGGACAAACTGCTGCAATTACCCCGCTGAAGTGTGCTGGGTGCTCTCTATGAAATGGCTGGGTTTTGTCACCCTGCTGCCTGTCTAGACAGTTGGATGGTGCAGGGAACTTCAGGATGCAGGAGAGGGTTAGGGTCCTTGCCCAGCACTGGACAAACCCTGACCTTACCACTTGAGCCCGTGGTTTCAGCTCAGTTTCTATGGATTCAGCATTTGCACCACACAGAGCCCCATGGATTGCGCTGTTTGCCCTTCAAAGTGACAGTCTGGAGAGCCAGGCCAAGGACTGACCTCTTGGGAAGGCTTTGAAAGCTGAAGTTCCTCTCCAGGATGAAGTGGGAAACTTGAATAGCTGCCCTACATCCTGTCGTCAGCCAGGGCTACAAATTCCCTCTGTCCGCAGAGGAAAACTTCACCAGAGAGTTTTGCCATGATCCATTTTGCCTTTGCCGCATTCATTCTCTAAATGCAATGGGGTGTGGTCTGCTCCTCCAGATCTGCCAGCACCAGGCAATTCCAGGAGCTCAGCTTATGAATACTAAGAAAAAAAAGTGAGGCTGCAAAATGGATGTTAGCACCAGCTCCTGGAAGAGAGGAAAACCCTGCTGCTAGCTCTGAGCACATCAGCAGGAGCGCTTTGCCCAAGGGCTGGGGCTTAGCTGAGGCATGGGCTGAGTGGGGTCCTCCCTGAGGAGGCTGAGCAAGCATTGCATTGCTGGGGTGCAGTCAGGGTGGCTGGCTGGTGCTTAAAAGAACTAAAAAATAGTTCCAGTCGACGGCTAAAAATATAGAGTGACAACTGAGGAAAATGACACCTGATCTCCCACTTACTGTGTCCACTTACTGTATCGACTTACTGTCCATTTAGCTCTGTGGGGGTCCTTTTGTGCTGAACACTCTAATGAGAATATAATGATGTGGCACTAACACTTGGTGTGTTTAGGGATCTGCAAGGATGGGCACTTGCCTAGACAAAGTCTGCTGTGCCCAAGACAGCAAAGTGACAGCAAATGGGACTTTGGGTGAGCTCCTTCCAGCCACTCCCTGTGCTGGGGCAGGGCTCCTGCTCTGCCCAGCTCCCTGTCCCCTACCAGCACCCCATTCCAGCACCGTGCTGCACTTTAGTGCCCTAAATTTGGAGCACAGACTGGGCTGGCAGAGAGCAGCTGAAGTGTGGCTACAGGAGGAGAGCTGAAGTGAGATGGGCAAAGCCCCCTTTGCCTTCCCATGGTGCATCCATGCTGGGGGTGATGTAAGATGCAGTGGGAGGAAAGTCTTTGAAGCTGGAATGAGAGGTCAAGGCAAGAGGAAATCTAGAAATATATTCCAATGTCCTCCCAACATCTTCATTAGATCCAAATTACCTTCCACATTTAAAAGCTATGAGACCATTTACAGGACAGTTGAATAGCACTGAGTATGGAGAGAAAGGAAGCTTAGGAAAGAACCTGCATTCCCTTGCAAGGGCCAAAGGATGAATGAAGATGCACTTTAAAAATGGGCATAAGCAAGGGCACCCCTCCTGCCTGGCCCAGCAGGCTTCCCAGCGTGGGCTGCGGGTTGGGCGGTGAGGCACAGGAAAAGGGCTGTTGCTCCACATATGACCGAGCTTCTCGTGAGCCTGGCCCACGTGTTGGAAATTTTCTTTTAAATAGAGCTCGTGGCAGAAAGGATGAAATTTGCAGCTTACTACTTTCATTTATCATTCTAAATAAAGCAAACATTCCTGTATGTTTTACTAAAGGCAGCCAGGATAAACAGCGCGCTTGGTAGGAACACAGGGGACAGATTTCATGCGTTTTCCTCCAGTGTATGAGGTTGTAGAGAGGATAAATGCAATGGAGACCAAATTGCACAGCCACTGACTTTTAATTGAGAAACAGCCATGTTTGGTTTCTAGCTTCCTGTGGATCCACCAAGGAAAGCTTTTCAGATTTAAATTGGATCACTAGCAGTAGGCAGTCATGGTATTTTATCTAGGGAGGTGAACCTAATAAGCAAACAGCTTAGCATGGGGTGCCACAGTGCCCTAGGAGCCCGCTGGATTCATCAATTATAGATAATCAGTCTGGTATTCAAATGTGGTGCTTCCAACCCACTGTCTCCTCAGTGCCGCTCGGTGCCACGTCCAGGTCCTTTGGGCCAGATGACATTGCTGAGGCATGAGCCACAGCCACCAAATGGCTACTGAGGGGCCTGGGGGGGAACTGGCTCAAACAGCTCCATTTCCAAGAGCTGAGAATGGCAGGTGGCTCAGCATGCACTGCCTTGTTAAATCTCAGAAAAACAAGCTCTGCCTGGTGTATGTGGGCCTGCCTTGGGTGGGCTCCAGGAATGCCATGATGATCTTGTTATTTTCTTTTGGGTTTGTGGCATTTCTACTTTTGGTCCTTGGCAAAACAGAGGGAGTGTTGTCCAACAAATATAGTATGGGGGAAAAACAGGCTGAGGTAAGACACTGTTGCTCTGCCTGGAAGTGCCAGTGTTGTCATGGGAGGCTTTGCTTCACATGTGACTGTCAAGTGCTTTGGAAAGCCTCCTCAGAGACTCGAGAGATGTTGGTCTTTGACACATAAATTTTACTTGACTGGCTCAATGAAGAAAAAGGTCTCTTTGGATTGCTTTGTCATCACTAGAGCCCTTCAGAAGGGAGCTCTGACCAGGTGACCTCAGATGTCTTTGCAAACCACTGGGTGCTGGCTCCTGCTTCCCAGGCAGCCCAGCTGTCCTCGGCAGGGCTCTCCATCACTCTTGGAAACTTCTCCTGGCAGTAACCCGGGACTTGCTTCTATCTCCTCTTTTTTAGTCAGGCTGGCCCGCCTCTGGCCCTTAGGGTGGTGGTGGTGGTAGGGGTTTGCTCTGCCTGCTGGTAACTCTTCTTTTCCAAACTGCAGGGTGAACAAGGACAAGCGGGGATCCAAGGTCCCCCAGGGCCCCCTGGTCCGCCAGGGCCCGCTGGACCAGCCGGACCCGAAGGAATCCCAGGACGTCCTGGGCCAATTGGACCCCCTGTAAGTCCTTACCAAAACCCAAATCCTTCTGTTTCCTTGTGCCCTAGGGCACAGGCTGTTTCCTCTGGCCTCTGCTGCTTCTAGGGAAACTGAGGCAGCCACGGACAGGAGGCTTGCAGAGAATGTGGTGGATGTGTGGAGAGGAAGGAGTTCTGGGGAAGGAGGGGAGTAAGAGGGGAGGCAGAGATGTGAACTGGGCACTGCTATCTGGACTCACAGTGGGTGACACCAGGCTCATTTCCTCCTCCTCAGCCCCTGCAGATGGCCCTGGGGAGGAAGTAACACATGGGCTGTAATTGTGGTGCTCCCTGCCACTGCTTTGAAGTCCTGTCCCTGTCCTAGCAAGCAGCCGAGGAGGGTGGGAAGAGAAGAACCATTTATAAAATACTACCATTGCTGAATGGCAGGGCAGAGGACAGAAAATGCTGCTAATGTCCCTCTCTCTTACAACAGGGCAGAGCAGGAGAACCTGGAAAACCTGGCAGAGATGGAAAGGTGGGCACCAGAAACCAGCTCTGTTCCTGGGAGCTGCAGGGGCAAGCGTGGCATGCTGGCTGCGGAATGAAGGGAGCTTCCATCTCAAAGGATTTTCAAGGCCTGTTAGCAGGACAAGCAAGTCTCGTTCCTGGAGGCAAATCCACACATGGTCCAGGGGTCAGGGATCCTACAAGCATCCTCATTTCTCTCTGAGAGATCTTCACATCTCTCTGAGGAGCCAAGGACAGGATGGCTAAACACCTGAACTGACAAAGCAGGCAACATCAAGGGTGGTATAGGCATCAGAGCATATCTAGAGTAGCTTTCCTTTCCTGCCTGCTCACAGGCAGCTCCTGCATAGATATTTTGTTTATTTATATTTACACACACACATATGTCTGGTATGCTTCATGGTTCATATCAGGTAAATTGTTTGGTTATTTCTCATTTAAAGACACAAGTGGTTTGTTTGTGAATATATTCTCTCTGTTTAGCTTGCCAGAGGAAGCTGCAAATGCCTGATTTACTGCAGAGCTGCAGTGGGCTGGGGACAAGGTCCCCAAGCAGCCAGAGAAACAGAAAAGATTCTGGAGCATAATGCATAAGGCAAAGCAGGTTTTTAGTGTTCAGGTTCAACAAGGACAAGCCTGGGGGGATGGAGCACTATGGGCATTGATTCATTTGGCTGTAGGGACTAAGGTATCTACACGAAGAATAGATGGGGGATGTTTGAGCTCACCAGTGCGAAGGGGTGTTTCGAATCAAACCAGCCAGTATTCCCCCCAGTCACCCTGCTGTCCATGTAGTGTCTACACTTTCCAACCCCAGTGTCTGTTTTGATTTTATCCACAGGGCTTACCTGGGCCTCCTGGACCAAAGGTGAGACATCTCACCTCACTTAAGAGCTGTAGAAAGATGATGAGCAGAGATGGACTCTCTTGACCAGGACAGATGTGTACATTTTGATGGATGGAGGAGGGGGAAAAGAAGTTACATCAAATAGCTGAGAAAGATTCCTGACCCAGCTCAGCATTGCCTCTGGGGCCCAGCCCCTGTGCTGACTCATAGGTTTTGTCCAGGCCACACGTCTGAGCTGCATCTCCACTGAGCCAGGCACGCCTCATCAGCCCATCTTGCAAAATTGTTTGCCACACACAGCTTTATTGGCTCCTGCCATTCTCAAAGCATTTCCCAGTGCTTCAGGAATGGATTTTGCAATGCTATTGTTAACTCTGCCACAGTTTCCCATTTATTCACTTGCCAAAGTGCGAGGGAGGGGGTGGTTGTTGTTGTTTTTCAGCTGCAGCCACCCAACTTAATTTGTTTTTATCTGAGATATATGTAGCCAGGGTGAGGAGATAGGAACCATGGAGCTGGGGCACAGAGCTGACACTTCTTACCTGTCTGCCAGGGCTTTCCTGCCAGGGCTCAGCCCAGTGCAGGTAATGCTGACCTGTGGGTCTGAAGGGGCAGGAGCTCAGTGGAATCACTCTGAGCAAAAGGCAAACTTTCCCCATAGAGTGCTCTCCCATCCCAGCAATACCCCAGGGAAAAGGGCAGAGCTTTGTTCCTCTCAGGCCAAGCCTCACTTTGTCTTTTTGCCTTTTGCAGGGAGACGCTGGGATTCAGGGATACCCTGGCAGAAAGGTAAGGGAGGGAAGTTCTGGTGTTGTTAAATGAATTAACTGCACTGGTGCTTTGTGGAATCATGGCTGAAAATCTGTGGACTGTGCTGGAGCCTCCTGTGGAGCTCTGCTCCTGCTGGGTCTGCAACAGGCCCACAAATTCCCTGCTGTCACCTGTGTAAAGAGATCCTGGGCCCAGAGTTATCTTTAACTCTGCAGCAGCTACGGAACAAATGTCTCCCTGCATGTGTGTGCCTCTCCACACCCACTTCCAGGCTGAAATGCATTTCTTGTGCACCCAGACCCATATGGGAGGTTTGAAAGGGCCAAATCCCTGGCTACTGCTCTCTGGGATACAAGAAAGAGTCAATCCTGCTCTGGGTTAAAAGGCAGAAACCGGCAGATGCCTTCAGCAGCAGCTGATTAACAACAGGGTTGTCAAGCCCTGAGGGTGTAATGAAGAGACAGAAAGAGAGACAGGGGAAAGACACAAAGGAAGATCAAACAGGAGAGAGAGAATGAAGAGATACTGCTAAAGAGATGTCAGCTGGAGAAGGGGAAGGTGAATGTTCCCAGCAGGAAGGAATCCTGTTCCCCCTGTTATCTCCAGGTTGCTTTATGGGTACTCTGCAAGCAAAATGGCAAGACCTGAGAGCTTTTTAATTAGCTCTGTATAAACTGAGAACTTTTTGTTATGTCAGGAAGTGGAAATTATAGCCCCTGCAGACCACAGCCCACTCTTGCAGACAGACACAATTTATTGCCCCTTCTCCCGGTGAGCCGTTGGATTTTCCATTAGGAGCCCATCCTGTTCTGTGTGCGCGGGGCGGGCGGCTCTCGCCGCGACCTCACAGCGAGGGCCTCTCCTACCAGCTCCTCTTACATGAAACAACTTGTCTGGCCAATTCACTTCCAAGCAAAAAGCCCACACTGGTCTTGGAAGGATGAGCCCAAGGCTGTGACCTTTGTCTGGGAAAGCTAGAAGGAATGGATGAATGTAGGGGACCAAATCCTAATGGGAAGAGAAGGCTGAATGTTGAGGAAAGCTGTTAACTCAGATGTGATGCAGGATATGGGACCGCTCCCTTCATGCATTTCATACACTGAATATCTCTCTTGATGCAGAGTGGTGCTCCTCTCCCACACCCCCAAGGGCAGGGTGGTGTGTGTGGGACATCCCTTGCACACCTCTGCCAACCTTTCTGGCAACCCACAGCTCCTTTTCTTGCTGCTGCGTTTGCTTCTTCCGCTGCTCTCTTTCTTCTCTTCCTCAGGGTGAGGTGGGTGAGTCAGGCCTGCCCGGTGCCCGCGGCCTCCCTGGAGCCTCAGGCCCCAAGGTAACCCTTAAACTCGACTCAGTGGGGGCAGATATGTGGCACAAGCCTGTCCTAAAGGCCAGGGGTTGGAGACAGTTCTCCAGAGCCTGGAATGCACCATGTAGACAGGAACACTGGCTCCTGTGTGAAGGATCTGGGCAATTGTTGGCCAAGGTGATTCCGTGCTGTCCTGAACACAGTCCCCCATTAAAGAATAAAACCAACCCAGCCTGTAGAGGCTTTTGGACCAGGGCTGTGAAAATGAGGGTACTCTGGACTATGAAATGTTTTATTGGTTTCTATACCCTTATCGTGTAGAAAAGCATTAATATGGGCAACGTCCAGCATCCACTCTGAGGACTAAACTGCCTTTGCACTCCCTGCCAGGGGAGGGCTGCAGCCAGTGCTTGACTGGTACCACATGAGGAGAACCTGAGTGCTGGGGTTGCTTTTGTCACACCCCTCTTTTTGCTGCTTTCTCTTTGTCTCTTGTTACAATTGAACTGCTTGCTTGGTTTCCCCTTATGTTCACTGTCCCTCTCTGTTTCCCCCCCTTTCTCTCTCCTTTGCTGGGCAGGGTGAAAAAGGGGATGCTGGCATCAAGGTAGGCTTGACAAATACGTTTTTCTAATGCACGGTAGATCACCTGGGAGATGCTGCTCCTTGGGCTGATGGATTGTAAGGGGAAGTTGGGTCCAAGGCAGCTCTGTGGGGTATTTGATGGAGTACACATCTGCGCACTGATTAACCACAGACAGGCACTCCGAGCTCGGGCAATAAACGCAGCCTTTATCCGTTCCGTGGAATTCGATTCTTACCAAAGGCATTTCTCTGACTATGAGGCTTGCTGGTGATTTGTTACATCTCCCTATTTGATGGGCTAGGTTGGGGTTTCCTCATAAAATCTGGTTAGCTGACGCATCAAATCCACTCAAACTCTGCGATTCAGGCTGAGGTTTGGCACCAGCTTTTCTGTCTGTTTCTGGACACTTTTTACAGGCTCATATGGTCTCTGCCCAGATGTTATCTATTTGACTGAAATTTACTGGACCCATATATTTAAAGTATATTACTCAGTGCAGACTGTGCTTAAAACATTACAACATTGGCAAGTGTTCATGGCAGTCAGAGCACCGACTGTGTCATGCCATACATCTTAGACACCGTGAGGAAAGACTGGTCCTGTAATATTTGGAAAGGCATTAACATTGACACGTACATCTCAGGTATTTAGTGTGTGGCATGCAGCTCATTTATCTTGCAGCACATACACTTTCTGTATCTTTTCCATCTGGGTTTGAAACTGTTTGAAAAGAGAAAAGGCCCCTTTGGAGCTCACCAAGGATGCATTACTTGGAGTTTAAAGAAATGTTCTTTGGGAATGCAGGCACTGGGTTCATAGCTGGACAGAGCAGCAGTGATTGTCTTCCTACAAGAAAACAACACCTCACAAATATGAGAGTGCAGGTAGAGCCCAGAGGTTCCCTGTGTCCATCTCCACATCAGTGTAATTCTATCAAGCACAAAGGTATTGCTCCTGTTTGCCGTGGTGTGAAGGAAGGTGGAATTGCACCCAGAACTGACAGGTTTTGAGGGCTTGGAGTTTGCTGCTCTCTCCACAGCAGGTCTCCTCCCATTAAGCTGAACTGGAGGACTGAAGTCAGAGTGTGGCCTGGGAGGGAGAAAAGGCTGAAAGGAGAAGCTGTGTTTTGTCCTTGTTTAAAGTCCCATGTTTCACCTACTTTGCTCATGCCTGTGTACAAGGACTAGCCAGCTCTTCACATGGGTTCTGGCAAAGGGGAAGTCTCCAGGTATTGCAGGCATGTCTCAGGCTCATCCAGAGGGTGAGAACCTCCCCTGACTTGGGGTCACCCTGGAGACATGGTCTTGCTACTTGGCCCTTTATTTATCCCTTGTTCACCCTACTTCAGGAAGAGCAGAGATGAAACCCACCACACTTATTGATTCAAAGGGGCAAAAATCCCCAGCCACGAAGCAGCAGCTTCTTTCACATACAAAGGCTATAGTTTGTTATTGTCAAGGTCACCTTTTTCTTGACTTCTTTCTTTTTGCTCAGAGGAGTTGAAAGGGAAGTGCAGGCACATTCTTAAACCAGCAGCCAGACCTCACCCAGTAGCAGCTCCTGAGCATCCAACAGCATGTGCGTTTGTTGTCTTTGGAAATTGTTTCTTATTATTGTCCTCCCACCTAGGAGGATTGATTGGGACTCTGGAAAACTTTTTAATCTTCCAACTTTGAATCCAATTGCCTAGACTAGATTGTACCTTCTCTTTGCCTTGGGGAGCCCTGGACAAACACTGTAATTCATAGGTTAGCTGCAGTGGCCAATTTTGCATGGAATATCACTGCTTTGGCTGGCAGTGAAGAGCATCTCTGTCCCAAAGAGGGTTCCCAGTATCACACAAACCCCTTGCTCATTTAATCATCTCTCCCCACCCAGTGGCAGGTGCAGCACAACCTAAATGGTCTCTCAGCTATTTTTTTTTTTATTTTCTGTGGCCACCATTTGTACTTTGATCATGTAAGGACCTTAATCTGTGTCTCATGAGGGTCATTAGGCAGTGGCTGTGGTCACCTGGGCCACTTGAAAGAGCGTTTGACTCAGTGCCCCCAGCCTGTCACATTCAGCTTCACTGGTTTTTATTTTCCTGAAAGATCCATAGGATAAGGCTTTTTCTCATGCTCTGAGGAAGGAGCCGTAAAGTGCCCACAGCCTTTCTCAATAACCCCCTGATAATTTGCCTCTCACAGCAAACAGCAGAAAGGAAGGGTGTCTGCTTTAACTGGCAGCTGATGAGCTGATCAGCGTGAGGCATCATTGGCACCCAGCGGGGATGGAGCTGCTCACACCGGGTAGAGGAGAGGTGTAGCCTAACTCTTCCAGAGGCATGCGGGAGAGGCTTCCTAAATCAACGTGAAGCTCAGGAGAGCTGGGAGATGCTCCTGGCTGCCTTCCTGAAGCCCCCCGGCATGTTCTGCTGGGTGTTTTGCCTTTTGTACCCAGCTCCTGCCTTGGCTGCAGCGTTTTAGTGCCGCTTTTTTGTGCCTTGGCTGCGGCACCGTGCAGCTCCGAGGGCACCGGGGGATCACAAAGGGAGCGGCGCAGCGGGACCTCGCTGTGCCACAAAGCCTTTCAAACACTTAAGGGTTTAAAGATGTTCTGGAGAGTTGTTTTTCTGCCTTTCTTTCTCTTCTTCGGTGGCGCAGTGTCACGTTTGGTGCTGCCCTCTGTGATTAGCCCGAGTGTGATCCCGGCGGTGCCGGGGGCTGTGCCGGATCACCGGGAGCGCAGCGCAGGGAGGCGGCTCGGAGCTGTCCCTGTCGGGGTCACCGTGCTCCCTCTCACCGAGGGGGGCTCTGCTTTTGCAGGGTGAAATAATTAGGCAGCTCTGCAGGCGGGTAGTTTTCCCAGGAAAGTCTCTGGGAAGGGGAATTACTGTCACAGGCTGGGCTGCCCTATGGGGATGGTCTCTGCGAGCAGGGTGGGTGTCTCCCAGCAGAAAGCAGCAGTCTTCCCTGCTGGGTCTCACTTAAAAAAGACAGGGAAGGAGACAGAGACAGATCCACCTTCTCCAGTACAAAGTATTCCTAATTATTGCTTTACTTTTCTTACTGCTGAAGATAGGGTAGTTAAGTAGGCTGTGTAGGGCAGGAGGTGCCTGCACTAGGTTATGTGTGTTATGATATTAGAAGGTATTTTACAAAATACAGTTCACAGGGTGCTGTAATTACAAAAAGTTCTTTTTTAAAAAAAAAGCATAGACATATATCCCTGCTAAATAGCCCTTCCAAGTGAGGATTAAACACCCACAACATAATGACAGCAGCAGTATACAGATTGCCTGAAGAGGTTTTATTTTCCAATTATCAGCTGACAAAATTCAGGCTGGCAGCACAAGGCAAACCTTGGATTCTCTGTCTCTCCAGATAGGTTTGTTCATCGCAGAGCTGCTGCAGGCCGAGTGCCTCCCTGTGCCCTACAGCTTGCTGTGACATGGCATGTGGCACTCCAGTGGGGTCAGTGCTGCTGTGAGGCTTGAGAGGCCTCACTGATGGGAAATGGCCCAGCGAGGGCAGTCAGCTTGATGATCACTGGGTGGGGAAATGGTGCCTCACCTCGCTCAGGAGGCTTTCTCATCACCTGTGCCTTGGGCTCTCCTCATGGAGCCCTGGGAGGACTCATCTCCTGTCTCTTGCTGTCTTTCTCTGTGTGTCTTGCTCTGCTTCCAGGGGGAGAGAGGCATGCCAGGGCTGCCAGGAAGACATGGCTCTAAGGTACCTTGTAACCAGAGGAGTGACGCTTGTCTGCCCCGTCCCACCCCTAGCGCTCGGCTGCCCCTGATGCACAGGCATTTGTGTGTGTGTGTCTGTGAGCCAGTGACTGTCCTCAGCTGAATTATTTATGCATCTCAATTGCAAAATACAGGGCCTCATTTTTGAAGGCAGTGGTGGGGGAAGAAGTGTTTTACAGAGCAAATGGCATGCCCGGTCTGGTGCTGGCTTGCAACATCAGGATCTTAATGCTTTACGCCAGTGAGAGCAGCCAGTTGCTGATGTCTGCAGGGAATTGGGGTTTGGTAAATTGGGTTCCCAGGTGACCACTGCAGATGTGTGTTAGCCCAGCTGGGATAAGCAGGGCTGCCCAAGTGGGAACCTGGACTAATGCAGCGTTGAATCAGGGTCAGTGTGTGAGCAGCCCTGCATGTCTGTGGATTGCAGTTCAAGGGTAAATACTAGAAAATAACATGATCTGCATTCACTGCTGTTTGAAGGCTGGAAAATGAGGAAGAGGCATCCCAAGGCTCTGTGAAGGCCTAACCAAAGCCACTTACTGCACGTTATCCCTTTCATGACTCTAGCTCGTATTTTCTAAATTCTACTGACCCCGAGACGGTCTGGAATGCTTTTTTTCCCCCATTTATTGCATAGAATCCCTGATCTCCATCTTCTGTCCTTGTGTTTTTTAGCTTTTGTCCCCGATTTCTGTTTCAGAAAGCTGAGAGGTATGATCCTGCTGCTCTCTGGCTCCCCACTCCTCCTTGTTTGAACTTTTCCAAGCTTTTTTCACTTTGAACTTGGCTCCCAGTCCTCCTCACTGCCTCACGTGCTACATCCCAACCCTTCACATTTCCCACCTTTTAACACCACTTCACTCCCTCCCCTCTCCTTAGTTATCCCTCATATTTGCTTTTGTAACTGGACCTTATGTAACCAGGGCCTAACTATTGCTAACACAGGGGATACAGAGATTTCAGAGCGGCTGTTTGACAGGGACAACCTGCTGTTTGCATCAGCGCTGTCCAGGGAGATGTGGCAGTCCCTGTGGGAGCAGCTGCCTCCTGAGGCTCCCAGGCACCTGCCTTGGATGGCAGGGCATCACTCCATGGTCCTGTGGCCATGGCTTGCCCTGTACTGCAGAGTGACAGCTGAATTGTGGTGCTTGGAAGTCTGGTTTTTTCCCCTAAGGTGGCTTCAGAGCTCTCCTGGAGACATTTTACTGCAGGGTTTGTCTGCTGTGATAAAAACAGACTGAGAGGGAATAGCAAGGCCGAGGCTCTGGGGTATGAGCTGGCCTTTCTCAGGATGCTCCTGCTGAGGTATCTGGGCTCAAGCCTTGGAGTGGGGGTTTGGTCCTTGGTCTGTCTTTGCATTCCTCAGTTATTTGACACTGTTCTGCTTGTTGGCCTTTGCTTCACTTGCAGGACTAAAACCAGGGTGGGTGGGGGTGGAAATCTGTTTGTCTTGACTGGGTTGTGCTCACGGTGCCTGCCTTTGGAAGAGCTTTCTGGAACCCAGAGCCACTGCCATAGGTGAACAGCTGCTCAGGGAATGAGGATGTGTGCTGTTACAGCATTACTTCTGAGTTGTGGAAAGGAAAAGATGTGGATTTCTTGCGTTTTAAGTTTCACCTGACCGATGCTGTTTCGTTTTAAAACAAATGTGTGTTGGATTAATTTCAAACGAGGTGTTGCTGTCTTTCCTCTCTCTTCCAGGGTGCTCCTGGGATGGCCGCCGCAGGGATGAAGGTCAGTTTTGCACTGCAATGCCTCGAGTTGGGCACGGGCTGGAGCTGGGAGAGCTCAAGGCGCTAGAAAATGGTCGGACAGCTCCCACTGATGGGGAATATCAGAACTGCCGTGCCTTTGGCAGAGGTACCAGACCTGTCTCCAGCCTCGCCCCTGCTGCTCCCCGGCAGCGAGTCTGGTGAACTCCCATCAGCACAGCTTCCCCCAGCTGCACCCGCAGCCTTGCTCCCCTCCTGTAAAAACAGAGCGAGGAGCGGCAAATTCCTTTGTGCCAGCACGTGAATCTTGTCTTGCTCTGCTCTTCTGTGCATCTGCAAGTACTGCAAGGTGGTTACTCTGTTCTGTGGAAGCTGTGAGTGAACCTGAGGTTTGGTGGTTTCTTACAGCAGCCTGGGAGCTGTCTAGTGGAGATAAAAGAAGTTCCAGACACAAAAATACGCAACAGAAGCGCTCTTGTGCCCTTAATTAGCAGCTCAAGGCCCCCATAGATGAATGTTCTTTTCCCCACTCTGATAGCTCTAGGAGGATTTGTACTATCTTCTCCTGGTTTGTCACTCACTATTTTCCTGTCTCTTTCTCACCAGGGCGAGCCTGGGACTCCAGGAGAAAAGGTATTCTCAGAAGGTTTTGCACTTCTGGTTGGTTTGTGTCTTCTGCCCCTCCCTGAGCAGCTGAGGGATGTCTGTGTACTTCCCAGTGCCCAAACCCAGGCCCCGATGGCCACTCTAAGCTGAATGGCAGTAGGATACAGTGATTTCCGAGTGAGAGAGGGACCATACCGCAGATATTTCCATCCTCCTGCTCATGCTGGTGTCACTGGGAATACCTTCCAGCTGTCTTCCTCCTTCCCTCCCTACTCCCCAAGAGACGCAGGGCACACTTGGCTTAGGAAGCAGGTCCCCTCTGCTCCTTCCCTTCTGCCTCCCAGTATTTGCGTGCCCCAGAAGAGTCCCTGCAGAGGAGCATTCCCATCTGAGTGTGAGTTCCCAAGGCAGGCACGGTGTGCTGCTGCCCCATCCCTCTCCATCCCGGAGCAGCCGGCTTGCTTTGGGAGCAGCTGGCTCCTCTTGTTTGAGGCTCGCTGGGTTATGTTACAGCATGTGACAGCCGTATAACAGACACGTTCTCTGTCTCTTTTCTTCCCCACCAAGGGAGATTCTGGAGTCCCAGGGAGGATGGGCCCCCCAGGTTTGCCAGGGAAGAGGGGGCAGCGGGTAGGACATTGCGTGTTTGGGCTGGGTGTCCTGGCAGCGCCGTGTTCCTGCGAGCGGGAGCTGCCGGGGGCCTGCCGTGTGCTGCTTGCGGGGGATTATGTGTCCTTTGCTGGCTCTTGCCCCCTTGGTGAAGTGTGTTTGCGTGTTCCCGCTTGCAGGAGGTGGGGGCTGTTGGCAGGCAGGGCAGCATGAGATGCCTGGGATGTAGTCTTGTCCCGGGAACGATTGAGGACAGTGCCGCATCTCTTGACTCCAGAAATAACACCCTAAACAGGGATTCGGTAATCTGACCTCCTTCCTCAAGAAATCCACTGCTTTGCACCCTAGTTCTGGCAGCACGGGATGTTTTCAGTAGCTCTTATGGACAAGTGTATTCAAAACTGAGTGAAAAGTGGGATACCAAGGTGGAATTGGGGATTCACAGAACCTTGGGACAGGATTGGGAATCATGTATTTACAAAAACCTCCAATGCCAAACCTCTTCCTTGGGTATGAGGTCCTGAAAATGTTTTCCCTCTTTCCAAGGAGAGAAGCATTTATTTAGCAATGTGCATACTCTGAGGGGGAAAGAAAGCTGGGGGAGGGTTACAGGTGGCTGGAAGCCAAATTACCTTGGAGGAAGGGGTCACTGCACTCTAGAATTGCCTGACAAAAAGATTGCTGCTGGTAGATTATTTTCCAGGGAGCCACCAGTGCATGTCTGTCCCTGGAGCATTGATGCAAGCCCCTTGCATGTCAGATGTGTGCCCTTGAGCTCTGATGAACAGCAGCAGCCTCTGCAGGCCAGCAGCGTGGCTCCAGGAGAGAGCTGAGCACCTGTGGGGTGAAAGAGGGTTTGAGTTGTTCTGTATAATCTGTACAAGTTGCTGAGTCTTGGAGCTGTGGGGATGGCAGCTAAAAACACACCTTTCTCTGGTGATGCATTTGAAACATCTCTTCAGGGTAACAGACGCTTCCAATATCTCTCTGTGTCCTGGCAAAATGCAGACTCCCAAACAGGACACTGTACCTGGCAACCATGGGGTTTAGCAGCTGGATGGAATGGTCTGAAGACAACTTAACTTCGACATAAAGACCAGTAATTGAACTCCAATATTTAAAGTACGGCCCAGGTGTCATGGTGAACTGAGCAAAGCCACTTCACCAAGGGAATGCTGGATGCTCTCCATTGCTCACTGCCTGTGGCATCCTCCATGCTCCATGGTGCCTCACACAGCTCAGCCTGCAGCTCTCCAGGCATCATCTTACACCATCAGCTGCTGTCTTTGCCACTTTTGCCACTCCTGCCTTCACTACTTACATGGCCAGTGCGTGTCCCAGAGCTTGGCTGCCAGCTGAGGTGCTGCACTGCTTGGGTTTTTTTTTTTGAGAGCATGATGAGTCTGGGATTTGGAGCTAGGGAAGAGGAGCAGGGCATGAAGAAAGTCCTGCACTCAAACTAAAATTCACCCTGGGTGACAGCTTCTGTGGGCATGTGGGATCAGGGAAAGCCTGTGCAGAAGTGACAGGGAAAAGTGTTTAGCAGACCAGAGATACAAGGAAGATGCAAGGGGGCGACCCTGGATCCCCTTCCCACTCATCTTCCTTTGGAGAGAAATAGCAATGATGTGCAGAGAGAGTCAAAAGGATGGGCAAAAACATGTAATGTAATGTCTTGAGCTGGTACTGCTCAAAGAGGATGCCTTGTCTGTGCTGAAAATAAAATCCCTGGGGTGGGAAAGAGGGTGTGAAACCAGGAGCAGCTCACCCTTTTGCTGCTCCTCCAGAATGGAGAGCCTGTAGAGTCAGTTTTGACCATGTCTGTTTTGCCAACAGGGTGAGAAGGGACGAGCTGGTGACCCTGGGATTCCTGGACTCCCTGGCCCAAAGGTTTGTCTCTTTCCTGATTTTTTTTGTTTTTTTTTTTTTTGGGGGGGGGGGGGCTGCTGTCACCCCTTTTCCTCCCTCCCTCCCGTGCACAGCTCACACATTGTTAGCTGACTGTGGCAGCATGTTCTGCTGAATGTCATCTTCAGACAGGGATGTGAGGGAGGCACACAAGAGATGCCTTTTTGTAGGACTTGCATGCCCTCATGCATTGAGGGAGAGATTGTGGTCCTAGGAGCAGGACCATGGAATCATGTTCCAGTAGTTCCCCTTTAAAAGCATGACCTCAGATGTAACACAGTATTTCAGCCTCCCTCCTGCTCCAAGATCCATGGGTGATGAGGAGATGGGCTTTTGGGGAGCTGCACTGCTATGCTCTGGGTTGGAGGAGTGCTCAGAGACAACCAGAGCAGGTCAGATAAAGCTAAGCTCTGAAATTGGCTTTTCCCCTGTGCTCTGAGATTTTCAGATAGAAATCACACCTTTCAATCCAGACTTTCACAGGATGTTTTTTCTTTGGGAAAGGGAACAGTGCAGTGAATGTTTCAGGAAGGGATGAGGGTGTAATGGCAAAGCTTTCCTGTTACTGCCTCCTACCTGCCCTGTGCAAAGGACATGGTGTGCAGGGCTGAGTGGCTGGTGGCTACAGCTCCAGAGGGAGGCATTCCAAAAGAAGCCATCATCGGGTGGTTTAATCAGCTCAGTTTCAACAGCAGAAGAGCACAGTGTTCCAAGGGAGGCTGGGGATGAGGGCTGTCCGTGTTGTGTTGCCCTGTGCAGCTGAAGGGATGAGCTGTTGCTGCTGGCAGGGTTCCACAAAGATCCTCAGGCAGGCCCATGCTGTCCTGGTGTCTCTCTGGGCTATCAAGAGTCCAGCTGATGGAACTTGTCTTGGCTGTGTCTCTCTAAGCCAGTATTTTGGCAAGTGAATCTGTACTGAGACATGTGGCTTGTTCTTTGCCAACAGGGAGAGAAAGGAATTGCTGAGAATGCTTTGGTGGGAGCTAAAGGAGAACCTGGCCCTCCAGGTCTGCCTGGACCCCCTGGACCAAAGGTGAGTGATTTTTCCTTTATGGGGTTGTGTGTTGTGAGGAACTGCACCCAGCACGAGGTGTGTAGGAAAGAGCAAAGGTTGTATTCATCTGTGCCCACCTCTGATTACCTGCTGGAGGGCTATCAAGTTCTACAGAGTGTTTTAGTACTGTTGTTCTATATGCTGCAGGTGAGAGAGTTTGTGAACTGTTTTTGGAAGGAAAATACCCTTCTTGTGCTCAAATAACTGCTCTGTGAGAAAAACTCTGTGAGAAAAACTCTGTGAGGAACCAGTCTTAACACTCCCTCTGCACTGGGTGGAACAGAGGGGAGCCTGGTGGACAGTTGTGGCAGGAGATTTGGGCTACCTGAGGAGAAGGGGCACAGGAGAGGGGTGCTTGGCTGGTGCAGTTTTGCAGTTCTTCTTCCTGGAAATGTGAAGCCAGCAGGGAAGTTGTACCCTGTCAACACAATACAAACCCATCCCCTTCCCTTTCTCTTCCTGTCAGGGAGAAGCTGGTGATGTTGGTCAGCCTGGTGCTGCAGGATCACAGGGAGAAAAGGTACGGAGGGCTCGGAGTTCTGAGCTCTGGGTTCCGAGGTTCAGGAGCTGCAGATTGGTTTCTGTGTGTACAAAACTTAGCTGAAAATGAGAATTCTAAATCAAGCTGTCTAGCCCAGACTGTTTCAGAGCACCAGCAGAGCATGATTCCTGGAGTTCCAAGAAAGTGAAGGGACAGGCTTTGCTAAAACTGTGATCTGCTTGTTTCAGGGGGAACGTGGTTCACCGGGAGACCAGGGACCCATGGGCCCAAGGGTAGGTGTTCCTTCACTAACCAAGAGTTTTGGCCCTTCACAGGGATAGTGGGACCACACTGACAGTCCAGATTGGGTCTTGCTGTCACTAAAAGTACTCATAGATGGGCAGTGGCTAAGTTTGAGATGGGCTGTTTCTCCACTCCTTACCCTCACTCCTACATTAGAGGAAGAACTTCTCCCAGGCCATCTCAGGGTGGCTCATTCGTAGGAGGAGGTGGGTTTGGACATGCCAGTCTGGACTCAGGCGCTTGAGCTACCAGAAAAAGGTGACAAGAGGGTGGGTGCATGCCCACATCCAACAACTGGTCAAACAATCCAGCTCCTGGATTCTGGCCTCAGCTTCATCTCTTCCCAGACAGCCAGCTTCCATGGTCATGACATGGTGATCTGAGCTGGGCTGGCTGTAATGCTGTACAATCTCCTGCACTTCAGAGGCTTTCTTTATTAAATGAAAAACTGGACACTCATGAATTGGGCCCCTCTGAGCCCCCTTTTCCAGAGTGAGCCACAGCTCTGAGCACCCCGAGAGAAGGGCAATCCCAGCCCCTGGCTGAAGACCTGGTATTTTGCAGGGCCCCAAAGGAGAGCCTGGGAAGGATGAAATGATGGACTATGATGGGAACATCAGCGAAGCTCTCCAGGTGAGCAGCTGCCTTCTTGTCCTGTGAGGTGACTGCTGGATGCTTTACTATTTCCCACAGACCGGGAACAGTGTAGATCTGCTCCCTTGGCAGTAGCAGCAAAGGGAAGCTCTTGGTTGTGCCATAGTCCCCTTCATCCCACACATCACTGCATGCAGTGTTTTTGTAAACTCCTTACTCATTTGGGTCGGTTTTACAGTAGTGGAGAGCAAGCCAGCTCCAGGAAAAAGCTTAGTTTTCTAATGACTGTTTACTTTTCTAATTTTATTTTTTTCACTTTTTTTTTCCCTAGGAAATACGAACTTTGGCCTTGATGGTGAGTTCCTGTCTATGCTGTGGGGTTTTCCACAGGTAGCTGTATGTCCATCCTAAGCAGATGGGTTGACAATTTAGGTGCAGCTAAAACACTTGGCCTTTGCCAATGGGAACTGAAGCTGCGGCAGCTGACAGCTGAAAGAAAAGCTCATCTTGCCTTCTGATCTTGGCACTTGAATTCTAATCAGGACTTTCATCCCTCTGCTTTAAGAGGTCATGCATGCTGCTCAGAAGGAGCAGGGAAGAGCAGCTCTCGGGGCTCTCCATTGCTCATCTTCCCAGCAAAATATGATTTTGGGGATCCCTTGGAATAGTCCTGTGTGATTTCCCCTTAAACTTAGGAGAGGTATTTGGTTTCAAAACACAAAAATACAAGCCCTGTTGACAATATGAAAATATTTTTTTCTTTATTTAGGGACCCCCAGGACGTCCAGGTGTGGCTGGACCTCCAGGGCCACCAGGACAGAAGGTATTGTCTCCATTCAGCACTCACAGACCTCGGGGAAACACGGGACTGGCCCAGGCAGAATTCCCACCCACAACTCTTCCCAGTGCTGTATTTCCTGTCCAGCCCTATTAGACTCGCCTGCTGTCCTCTGCAACTCCTCCTCACACACAATATCCTGGAAGATCTCTTTTCCCACAATGATAATGCCTAATCTGAAAGATGAAGGATCTTTTCTACTCATCCTTCCCTTCAGGAAGTGGCTTGTGGGAACCAAACTGTGGGACTGTGGTGGTTGGGGACTGCATGACTGCACTGGGGCTGTGAGGTGGCAATCAGGATCAGCAAGACTGGGAAAATTCTCAGGCAGTCACATAATGTAATGCTTCAACAGGGGTTTTCCTGGGTTTTTTTGTGGGTTGTTTGTTTGTGTTTTTTTGTTGTTGTTTTTAATTTTATGACTGCAGAAAAACCCAGGGGTTTCCATCCTTTATTTTTAGTGATTACAGGAAAAATCCTGTATTTTTCATGCTTTTTTTTTTTCTTTCCCTGTGAGTAGTGTGTGCAGGCTATTTCTGCATTGCCTGCCCTTCTTCATCACAGTGCCCCAAAAAAGGAGTCAAAATAGCTGCTCTCAAACTGCCAAAGTAACAATTCTGTGTTTCAGGGTGAGATTGGCTTGCCAGGTCCCCCAGGCCACGATGGAGAAAAGGTGAGGCACGATGCTCTTCCCTTCAGAGGTCCTACTTGGAGTCATCTCCGTGTCACTGACTTCACACAGTTGCTTTTCCCACGAGGGAAAAAAGCATTTTGCTTCACAAAAAGGAGCATTAATGGTTTGTCAATGTCCTAACATTTGTCATGGCTACTTTGTCCTGTCTCCAAAGGGGATGGCTGTGAGGGAAGGGAGGAGCAGGACAAGAGGATCTGGGCTAGGCAGGAATAGCCTGACTCTCTCTGTGAATGTTTCTCTTCACATCGTGAGATTTTTCATCTAGGGACCACGTGGCAAGCCTGGAGAAATGGGTCCCCCTGGCCCTCATGGGCTGCCAGGAAAGGATGGACCTCCTGGAATAAAGGGAGAGCCAGGCAACATCGGGGTCAGAGGAGAAAAGGGCGATAAGGGAGAGCCAGGACAAGCAGGCTCACCGGTGAGTAAATGAAAGCCTCTCCGAGCGCTGGGGCGAGGCCCCAGCACTCCTTGGATGCCTCAGAGCCCCTGCAAGGTGGGTGCTGCTGTGTGAAGTGTCACAGTACAGGAGATCCTGGCTTCCTGGCACGTGTGTTGTCCTCTTGCTGGAGTGGCTGTCCCCAGGTGCCTTCCCTGTTCCCTGAGCACCGTGTCCCTTCCTCAGCTTGCTGCCTGGTGTCTTGCTGGCACTGAAACGCTGCTGGAAGCGAGCAGATCTGACTGTGAGCCAGGAGGCTGAGGCAGCAGCACAATCCCTCCTGGGATAACATGGGGTAACCCCTCACAAGCCAGCCACTAACCGGGGCAGAGTGCCCAGCCTCCCAGCTTCAGTCTGTCACAGCTTCTGTGCCCCCAGCACTGCCCAAGGGGGTTTATGCAGCAACTTCTATGGGATTACCAGGATGAAACTCCTGCTGTCTCAACAGCTGGCTGTGGGGTGTGATTCCTAGTGTGGACTCCAGCAAACTGCATAATCCTGAGCAGGACTTGGAGGCAGGAAAGCAGTACCCTGTCCCCACTCTGGGGACTGGTCCATCCACAGTGACAGGAGAATGTTCACCCATTTGCCCCTCCACTTTCAATGCTAGTGAAGCCCTGCATTTCCCTGGATAACTGGTGGATTTCCAAGGTTTTCAGAGTACTCTTGGGATGACCAGAGCCAGTCTTGGCTCTTGCACTGATATCTTACATGTCTGCCTGACTTAGTCATGCAAAACTCCACAAATCTTTCTTGATCTATAGGGTCTAGATGGCCCCACTGGAGAGAAAGGCGAACGAGGTGACCAGGGGATACCAGGAGCATCAGGATTGCCAGGGCCCATTGGACTTCCAGGACTGACAGTAAGAATGGAAAAGACAAGGCTGCTCTTTCCTGCTTGGTAAAGAGAAAATAGCATAGGACAGCACACGGGGGCTCATTTCCCAAAGTGCTGTGTGTCCTGGGAGCCTCAGAGCCCTGCCCCTTTGCTAGGTGTCACAGAATGTCTGTCAGGCCTCCAGCAGCAGACTGGGAATGTGAAACACATGCTCTGTTCCCACTTCTCCTGGGGGAGCTGCTGCCTGCCAGCACGTGGGTGGTTCCCAGGCAGCTTCAATGGAGGGGCACTCGGGAGCGCAGCCGGTGGTGACGGGGTCTGCTGTTGTGTGCAGGGAGAGAAGGGTGAGCCTGGGGAGCGTGGAGACAAAGGAGATCCAGGAGAATCGGTAGGTTACTGTTCCTGTGTTCCTCCATCATCTCAGCAGTAGGGGAGGGATGATTTGGCAGCAGTGCTGCTGGAAAGTGGCACACCCCCTTCGCTGAGGACCGCAAACCTTGTGCTGTGGGGCTGTGTCAGCAGCCACCTCTGGCTCCTGATGCCCTCCTTTCCCTGACACAAGAACAATCTCACATCTACAAGGAATGCCTAGGGAAGAACAGATTGTGGAAAGCATAGCAAATACTTTCCTCAGCATTTGCAGGAAATGGATTTCCTGGCAATTATTTACATGTGTATATATACACATGTAATCTCTTTTTTTTTCCCCCAAAGATTTTGGTGTTCTTGAACTTGCCTGTTCTCCCCTCAAAGCTCACCCCTAGCTTTGGAGTGCCCTGCAGCAAGGAGTCCCACAGGCTATTGACACATGTGGAGCCAGGCACCTTCTTTCCTGTCTTTTACTCTTTGACCTTGTACCTCCTTGTAGGAATATTGGTAGAGTAGTGGGAGTGGACCTTCCTTTGGAAAAAGCCTCACTGCTTTCCCTCCTCTTAAATATTGGCAAATTTTGCATAACCCTCCCCTGAGTCCTGCTGCTGCTTCCTAGCTGCTCAGTCCTGGATTGCTGCTGCTTCCTAATGCAGTCCTTGGGGGGAGTCCAGGTTTCCCAGCCTAGCAGAGGAGCTCTGCTGCACCCTGTGTCCTGTCTCTCCTCTGAGCAGCCTCACTTTGCCCCTGGGGACAGCTCATTGACGGTGACTTCTCTTGCATTTCCAGATATCTGGGCCCCCTGGACCCCAAGGCCCTCCAGGACCTCCGGTAAGTTTGAGTGACTCACCTGAGGAGTGAGGCACTGGGAATGGGGTTAGAGCAGGCAGTGGCTGGGGAGGATTCTGTGTGGAGAAGACAGCCAGAACCACCGCGCTGTTGAAATGGGAACATGCTTAGTATCACTTCCAACCCCACCCCCGGGGTAGGTCAGAGCTGCAGTGGGCTGGGAGGGCAAAGAAAGAAGGTTATGTTAGTCTGAGATGAAAGGGAAGACAGTAGTGAGATGGGATAGATGGGATTAAAGGGATCAACTGCAGAAATTGTCTTAATAGCACACCTGGCCCCCTGCCAGGGTGTGCTTGGCAAGAGGCTCCTCGTTAGAGATGAGAACAGTACATCAAGTGCCCATTACACAAATAAAGAGGCCTTTGGGCTGAGGGTTCATGCTCCAGAAAGCGACACCTTTGCCCTGCACGCCTGACTGGGATACCTGGAGCTTAAATTAAAGCCCATCCTGAAACATTACTTACATCTTGTCTCTCGTCCCAAACACAGGGTCTTCAGGGCATTCCCGGACCCAAGGTAAGGGTACAGAATGTTACCTACTGAAATTGTCCCAGGTGATAGAATTCCCTGTAGTAACAACCTCCTAGTGTTCAGGTGATACTTACCTTCCATCTTGGTAAGAGGATAAATCCTTCTGGATATTTCCTTGAAGGAAATGGATTAGCAGCTCTCATTTTAGGACCCTAAAAAATGGTCATTCCCTCCAGTTTTCACCCCGAATTCACTGGTCTGTGGAATTCTGCCCATGGGGACAGAGTTGAAATCTTTGTCTGGAGGGTGGAGGTCTGTGAGATGAACAGTTTGTCACACAGTCCTAAGGAACTGAGCTCTAGCTAAAAATTAGTCTTTAAATTACCCTGTACATTCTGCTGTAGGGCACTCAAGAACTTCACCATCCTTGGTGGTGAGAATCCTTCTAATCTCCATCCAAATGCCCAGCCTGCACCATTGTCTTACCTGCTGTTAAACAGCTCCTGCACAAAAAACAGTGGAATGGAAATGTTCAAAGAGAGCTGCAGCTTTCTGGTGAAGTTTTGGGCAAAGATTGGAAAAGGTGCAAAGTGTCTTAATTATTTTGATTATCCTTAGTATTTGGCCACCAGCATTGTTTGGGTGCTAGAAGGGATGGATATGTTCTAAAAAGTCTTATGGATGGAAATGAGGAGGAAAAAAAAGTTCTGGGTTACATTTTGAATTTAATTAAAAGGAGTATTTTGTTTAATATTGCTTTGTAGTTTATCATACAGAATTTTAAAAGTATGTCTGGGAAAAAAATGCTGAATTTTGTTTTTTTCCCTGAAATGTTGAAACTGATGCCTTAGCATTTACAAAAGTCTTTCCAAACATTACTTCTGTATGATTTTTCTTCGAGGCTTGAAGACACCTGTCATTCACTTCCAGTGGATCCACATCTTAAAATGTAAACCCACAGTATCAGATAACTTCTGGTTATTTATATTTATATATAAATATGTATACAGCAACAACAGCAGGGAGAGCAGCACCGGAGCGAGCTCAGTTCTCCCCTGAATGTCTTTTCCCACAGGACCTGAGTCTCCTCTTATTGCCACTGAGTTAAAACAGGTGCTCACACAGGGGTAATGTGAATGACAGTGATTTTCTTCAAATTAGGTTGAGAATTGGGCTAAGGCATTACTCTGCTGCCTCCTGTATTCCCTCTGCTATCTGGTGCTCTCTGAAGGGAGGAATGTTTGTTATATAAGTGCTGTTATGGTGGGTTTATTTTCTGCTCCATCCTTCCTTTAGGGGGAAGCAGGGATTGATGGAGTGAAAGGAGAGAAGGGTGCCCAGGGTGAAAAAGGAGACAGAGGGCCACTGGGATTACCCGTAAGTATCCAGGAAGCAAGCAGCACTTTGTGAGCCAAACTTAATATCAGCTGTAAAAAGATCCCTCAATAGGAGACGCACGTGGGGATTTGGTATGTAAAGTCAGAGAAAGAGATGGCCTATAAATAACTGTGCCTTTGCTTTTAAACCCAAAGCCTCAATTTCTGTACTGAGCCTTCAACTTGTAGATCTGTTAAATAGATCAGGGATCACTTTATTTCCTCCTGCTTCTGGCAGGACTGGGAAAAACAAGCAGCAGCTTTCCTGGGGGTTCTCTGCACTTCAGGGCAAGACCAGAAACAGAAGTCAGAGATGTGGAAAGCCGTTCCCCTGCTGTTTGTCTCCTGGGCTCAGCTTTGTACAAAGCATGGTGGTTCTTAATGCAGTCAGCTCCTTTGATAGCTGAACCATCCCTGTCCCTTCTGCCATGGAGTCAGTGTCTGCTGTGGGTGAACTTGGCCCCATTGGCCTGGTGTTAGAGCAGTGCTTGCCTTAGCCAGAGGAATTGGGGCACAGTGTATTGTACAGAAGTTGCAGGAGCTTTACATACAAACCTGGTGATGTGTTGGTGGTAATTTAGTCCCACTCAGTTGTTCCACCAGCCCCTGAGTTCTCTCATCATAAAAAGAACTGGTGGCACAGTAACCCTTCCCCAAATGTTCTGCCTGGAACAAACACTGCAGAGTGTATCTCATGTACTGTGTGGCTTTGTTGTCCTGTGTTTGACCACCCAGACCCCTTGTCCCTGACTTTGGCTGAAATGTGCGTGTCTTTGTTTGTAAAATGTTTTATTCCTTTAGTTGTGCTGAACAGTAGTTCCCTCCTAGAGCTTGAATGAATCCCCTCTGACTCCAGGTGCTCAAATGAGCCCAGAGTGAGTACATCACGTTCCCTGGGGCTCCAGGCAGAGCCAGTGGGAGAAAGGGGTGCTTTTGGAAGGCTCAAAGACATGGGATTGTACCTCAGTGGAGCAGTGAGAAGTCAGAACCCAGTGCCCTGAGAAATATAAATGGAAGTTTTCTGTGTAAATGGTTATTCCCTCAAGCCTGTGGGGTATCTGCACAGGGGATGGAGGTCCTTGTGACAGTGTGAGCAGATGCCCCAGCAGTTATTCCAGCAACTCATCTTTGTGGCAGAGAATGTGCTAGCTCCTTCTCCCACTGCAGTGAGCCCCATGGGGGGTCCAAAGGTCCCTTGGCTTTTCCCATCACTCTTCCTGAGCTGTGGAGATGGGAAGACCAGCTCAGAAGGGTCCTCTTAGAAATGTTTTGTTTGGATCAGCAATATTGGCTGGACAACCAGGAAGCACCAGCTTGTAAGATCAGATACTGTGGAACTTGTATCCTTCTTCAGAGCCACTGAATTCTCTTCATAAGCTTTTCCATGCCTGATCCAGTGTATCTTCAGCCTGTCAAGCTCATTGCCATGCCAAGCAGGTTCTGAAATATTTCAGGCTGTAAAATCCTGAAGCTGGATCTGCTGCCTTTTTCTCTGACTCAGGGCTTGACATCACACTGGAATTCCAGTCCTGATTGTCTGCAGTAGCCTTGGGCTTATCCATGGCTGACAGGGTGAGGAAATGGAGGAAAATTCAAAATAATTGGTACTTATGTTCTACCACAGCTTTCCCTCCCAACCACTGTCTGAGACAAGCCAGTGGGCTCAATGGACCTTAGGCAGAGCCACTTTTAGGTCTTATGGATGAGGAAATTCAGGGCAAGAGCTGAGCAGACAGCAAAGTGCCACTTGATCTGAGTCTGGTGTAAATCTGCACTGGTGACACAGGGAGATGAGCCACCTGTTTTGTAAGCCCCTGAACAACTGCATGTGGAGTGGAGCAAGCCTGCAGCTGACCTAGTGGGCACCACAAGCCCTGGGTCTCTTGGTAGCAGCTTGAACAGCTGATGGCCCTGCACTGCCTGTAAATGCCTTGGTGAGCAGCAGCCTCTGAGCCTTGTGTCTCACCTGTGTTGCCCAGCCTGCCACAAAGGCAGTGCAGATTCCAGCTCCACTGTCACGTTGTCCTTTTCACCACCTGTCACAGAACAGCTGCTTCCCCAGGAGTTTTCCTGGTGGCACTGAGAGAGGGAAATTTGCACTCTGAAGAGGATGTGAAAGTTGCAGGTCTACATTATATGTATTCAGTGTTTCTATGTTTTTGTTGGTTTGCTTGTAAGTGCCATCACCTGTCCTTGAGATCTTAATTTTTGTTAATTGCAAGCTTATGTTTGTCTCGAGTCACTGCTTTACTCACCTCTCCCCTCCCCTCTCCTCTGCCTGGTTTTTGTGAACCCTTCCCGCCTGTCCAGGGTGCTTCAGGTTTAGACGGCAGGCCTGGACCACCGGTGAGTTCCATTTCTGTTACCCCACGTTTGTACTCCCCAGTATCGTGATTCATTCTGTGTCTTCCACCCGAGTCTTCTTTACACCAGGAATAATCTTATTTTTATCAAAGCAGGCTTGGGGTGGGGGGGGGTTAAACATAAAATGAGGAGTGATGTCGCACACTTGTCTTCTTTGATGCTACAAATCTGGATCCTGGGATCGCAGCCTCCTTGCTCCACTCTGTCTCAGTAACAAGAGGAATGAAACCTCTGCATGGTTCTGTGGTGCTCTGCTCTCCTGTCCTCTTTCTCCTGAGGGTTCTGCAGCCTGAGATGGGAGAGAGGGACTCATCATCAGCAATTGTAGTCTCAGGGCAAAGGGGAATGGCTTCAAAATGAAAGACTGAGTAGGTTTACATTGGATATTAGGAAGAAGTTCTTTACTGTGAGGCATTGGCACAGGTTTCCCAGAGAAGCTGTGGCTGGCCCTCCCCTGGAAGTGTTCAGGGCCAGGTTGGACAAGGCTTGGAGCAGCCTGGGGTAGTGGAAGGTGTCCCTGTTCATGGGAGGGGATTGGAATGATATGGTCTTTAAGGGCCCTGCTGACCCCAAACCATTCTATGATTCTAAGTAATGCCAACCTGGTTCTGCAAACCACTCTGCTATTCTTGGATAACAGCTGTTAAATAACAGCCAAATATTTTTAATCCCTCATGGGAAATCATAGATCACCCATGTACAATCCATTTGGCTATTTAAAAACAAAAAGCAATTTTTCCTCCTCAGTGTAGCTGGGAACAATATCAGCTGCTCTGACTTCTAAAGAGAATCTGAGTGGCAGCTTATACAGTCACTTGTTTGGGGGAAGCTGTAGATACAATTTTATTGATGTGCAGGGGTGATTTCAATGTATTCCATAGCACTAAATGATGGATAAGTGCAGGCAATTAAGATTTCCACAATTGCACGAATCTAAGGAGAGCCTGATTTTTCCCTCTTCCTTCACCATGCTGAAAAGTTGTGTGCTGCATGAGCTACTTCTTCACTTGTATTCTGCAGATCTTGACTTCTCTGAAAAGCTCTCCTGACCCACATGAGCCATCCTGCTCTCATCAGAGGGGTTACTTTAGTGACTAAGGATTGCAGACTGACATTAAAAAGTGCAAGACCCTTTTGTTTTAAGGCTTTTAGAAAGACTTCCCATTTTGCTCCTTAGTTTTTCCTGGGAGTCAGGTAATGTCTCAAAAGTACCTCTTTACTGAGGCTCTGTGAGAGAATTGTAGACCCATGTGTGGCACAAGGAGTCTGAGTTGGAGATGCTGGAATCCTGCTCTTAGCCAGAGGGACTATTACTGAACCACCATGCTGCCAGCATTAAAGATCACTTTGATTAATTTCCCAGAGGTCAGGCGAGTCTCAGGAGCACCAGCAAGGAAGTTTGGTGTGCTGGTGGGAGAGGGTGACACCCTCTGTGTCAAAGGGCTAGGAAAAACACTGGGTTTTCCTGTCTGTGAGCCTGGTGGAGTGACAGGAATGGCAAAGAGGGAGCAAAGGGACTGGAGGATACCCCTCCCAACTCACATCTGTGCCTGCACACACCTGCATTCAGCACTGCAGCTTGGGGTCTGTCAGCTTGCATGAAACACTGACCCAACGTTTTGCATCTCGCTCAGCTACGCCGACTCCGGGAGGGGGTAAAGGAAATAAGGACATAAGCAAAAAGAAAAGTGAACTGCTTATCATGTGTGTAAATGGCCTTTATTCTGCTACAGCTTTCAGCCTTGTGTGGTATAAACCGGCAAGAAGGAATTCCTGTTTGTGGAGCTGGTAGAAATGCCTGCTGAAATAATTGTCAATATTGTCAATAATTGTCAAGAGAGAGCTTCAGGATTAAAGACGAGGCTCTGTACAGTGGTGCTGGTGTGATCTAACATAGCAGTTCCCATGTTCTTCAAATTGCCTTACCAACTACTTCAAATCCATCTCCACCAGCACTGAAAGCTGTAGTGGTGCTAAGTGCCTTTCACCACCAGCCTGTCCTCCTAAGCTGTGCTTTTCCTAAGGGAGCAGCAGTGTCTCCTGGCTTTAAGGAGGCCCTGGAATAAAAGTGTCCTGATGTGTTTTCCTTCCTACAACTGCAGGGTATTCCAGGACCAGTTGGGGTTTCGGGACCAGCAGGACCAAAAGGAGAAAGGGTGAGTTTGCTTCAGAACTGACGGATGATCTGTAACTTCACTGAAGATATAACAGCTCTGAGGGACAGAGGAGCACTAGGCTTTTCCAGAGCTCGAATTGCCCTCTCCTTGTGCATACAAGACCCTCAGCTGGGCCTCTTTGGTGCTTGAGTATCTCATCCTTGGGGTTTTTCAGGTGCTTTGAAATGCGTGCTTTGCTTTTTCTTCTCCGGTACTCTGCTGCCTGTTTGTACTGAATAGGAATGTGAACAGTTTCTATTCTTTTCCATCCATTTCAGGGCAGTAAAGGAGATCCTGGAGTTGCAGGACCAATGGGGCCAGCAGGGCTTCCTGTAAGTATGGGAATCCTGGGGATTTATCTCCAGAGCCTGTTTCCTTGCTGGGGTTGACAGCTGAAGATGCTGCTGTAATGCAGGGTTTGCAGTCACAGCTGGGTTAGGCATAACTCAAGTTACAAGATTTTGTTCACTATGGGAGTGACACAAAAGGCTGAGTAGCTCTAGAGCTGACTCAGTGATGTGGAGGAGGCTGAAAGGAAACTGTTAATTTACCTTGGTCCTTGAACTACCTAAAGAAGCTGTGTGGGACTCTTAGTCCAAAATGCTACTTTTGAGCACATTCCTTTACCTTTCACAGTCTGGGTGTCTGCCTCCTGCCTGCCTGAGAGCCCTGTCTTGTCATTGCAGGGACAAAAACTGCCTTCAGTGAGGTTAATTCCACTGTCTGGGACTGCTTTTTGCAAAATAGGCCCAGTGTTGGTGCTGTGGTCTAATGCAGTTATGGGGTGGCCTTGTTGTTTAACATGAAAAAGGAAGGTTGTTGCATTGTCAAAATTAATTTTGTTTCTTATCTTAAGAGTAGGGTAGGTAGTAGTTGTGTTACCACCTGGATGGTCTGATGGAGGTGAAGAGGAGGTTGCCTGCTGGAAAAGTTTTAATTTTGACATAGCCATTTGTACAAATGGAAAAAAAAAGCCAGAATCCTGAGCATACATTCCTCTCTTAGGTGGGACTATGGTGAAATCTGCTTGTTTTCAAATGTTTCTTTCTGTGTTGATGCATTTCAGGGTTTACAAGGTCTACCTGGTGACAAGGGAGCCCGGGTAAGTTACCAGGCAAACTCCTTGTGTTTAATTGCTACCAGCCCAGTTAACTCAGTTAACACAGGAGTTAACTCCTGTGCACCTGGAGCAGCCAGCATGTGTTTGTGTGCCAAACCTTCATCCCCGTAACTGTACACCCCTGTGTTTTGGGAGGTGATACCTGTAGCTCGTTCCATCACCTGGAACATTGTGCTACATCTCTCTGAAGGCTGTAGGAGGGATTTTCTAATGTTTTCACACCTCTGTTCTAACTGAAGCACAGGACATGAGTTAGGGCAATGTGGTGTGCTTTAGGAAATGCTGCTTCTGTAGTTACTGATGTGTGTAGGGATTCCTGGCAGAATTAGCTGAGGTGCAGCCAGCAAATCTTATTTCAGTACTTCTAAATTGCCCCTGAAGCATGAAAAAGAAGGTTGTCTTCTAGCAAACAATCCCACAGAGAATTTGAAAGATGGAAGTTTCAAAAAGATAAATTAAATTCGCCTGTCTTGAAGAATCAGGCCTGAAGTCTCCTTTAGGCATTGTCCTGAATGGATGTGATGGTGAAGAGCTGGGTCAAACCCAGGAGCAGGAATGGCAGCTTTCCCATTGTACCACCTGTGTTATTGCAAGATAAACCTTAATAAAAAGTGCTTGTGGAGAAGCTCCTTCTTTTTCATCAGGTTTTGTTGCCTGTTAAGGCTTTGAATTTGAATCTTTTTGATAAAAACGTTTAGGAGCTATGGTTGGATATAACTTACATTTAGAAATATAAATTATTATATATTAGAAATATAAATTACTTTTGGATTTGAGTTAGTAATATTACAATTGTGTGAATGTCAAGCACTTCAATACAGTACAAGTGAATGTAGTCACACCTTTTATTCATAAGACTCTGGCATCACCTAAATTTATCTGGAGGTTTTTTATAGAGCATGTGCCTGTGTGATGATTTCACTGTATGGATTTGCTTTTGATGTATAGTGAGTGTTCTCTGTCCTCTATCTGCAATTGATTTCTGACCTTACTCTGCACAAGAAAAGGCAGTTTTGGACAGCACTAGCCAACTGGCATCTTAAACTAGGGGAGAAAGGTTCATGGAAGCACCAAAGTTCTCCCCTTTTTTAATCATTGCATTTCTGGCTTTGCTTCTTAACCTTCTCTTCACTTTTGTTTTGCTTGTGTGGCTTCTAAAAAAATGTCATTTTTAATTCCTAGACTTTTTCAGTTGGTTTTTGAACTGAGTCCTTTAGTTAAAAGAGAGCACTTTTCATTAGATGGGATTTCTTGGAGCTCTGGCATAAAAGCAAGTGAAAACTGGGAGAAATTGCAGCTCCTTGTAGAGGATGAGCTGGAAAGCACAAGTGGGGAGTTTTGCTGGCCCCTTGAAGCATCCTCACTGCAGCCCATGGTTTGCTATGGAAAAGTGTGAGGAACTCAGGAGTGTAAATGGGCAAGTGCAGTATCTTAGGGGACCCTGGAAAATACCCCATTTGCCACTGAGCCTTTGTATGGGGATTTCCCCTTACTCCTTACACTGAAATCCCAGTTTGCCAAAATCCTCTTTTCCTCTCTGTTTTTTAAATTCCAGAAATGCTCCTGCTGCTCTCTGCTTGGAGCAGGCAATCAGCATAGCTGTGCCTGGGTTGTGGCACTAATAACAGACAGCATTTTGTGTAATCCAGCTGAAAAAGTGTGAACCCTGAACTTGTCCTGCTGTTATTTTAATGCCTGGGGGGAAGTGGGGGGATTTTTGTGTGTTTGTGCATCTTCCTTGCTCCTACAGGTCCACCTTTGTCCCCTTTATCCCTTCCTCCTCTTCCACCTTTCTTCCCGGTTCCTTCCTCCAGAGCAACCCATGCTGCATTTCTCCTGGATTATCCTCTCCATTCTGGTGCTTGGTTCTGGGTGACTTCTCATTGCCTCCCCTCTCCCATCCATTTCTTTTGCTAGCTTTGGGTTTAACACTTGTTTTTAAAAAAGAAGCAGCAGCAGCCTGTGCTGTCTGTTTTTATCCCTTAATTCCTTTAACACTCCCCACAAGGACCCCAAGTTCAGTTCCCTGTGCAGCAGCCCCTTCCCCCTGTTTCGTGCTCAGCAGCTTTGACAATTTCCTGTTATCCAGAAGGATTTGGTATGGATATAACTGGCAAATACCACACTATGCCCTGCCTTGTGCTGCCAGTTAAGGCTCAGGGACCCTGTGGCTGTGCTGCCTAGGACTTCTCCCTGGTCTAACAGGTTTTTTGGGAGAGCACTACTCAGAGCATCCCAAAGGACAGCCAGAATGTGCAGACTCAGAGCTGAGTACTTCCTTGATTCCCTGGCTGACAGCTCCCTAAATGAGACATTCTTTAAGAATGGGAATTCAGAGGGGTAAAAAAAGCACCCCAGTGCTATCCCAGAGCTCCAGTGGCAGAGGGACCTTCCCAGCCAGCTGGAGATTGAGCTAAGGTGGCACACTGCTGGCCAGAGGGGTGGTTTCCCATCCTGTGTGTCTGGGGTCAGCCAGTTCTCCAGGGTGCCCCTCTCTGATGTCTGGGAAGCCCTGAGAAGTGCGTGCTGACCCCTCTGATGCTGAGCCCTCAGTCTGCCAGTGTGGGACTGCAGCCATGGCATTCATGCAGCTCAGTTACAGCTCAGCAGCTCCATACGTTGGTCTTCATGTAACATCTCGGAGGGAGATTTATTTTAAAATGTTTCCTAAATGTTTATCCTTTTTTAAACTATTGCTGACATTTGTTTGAAATGGATGATCCTAAAGCTTTTGTGTATTCTTTTTTTTCTTGGACTAAACTATTATTTACAGGGGGAGAGGGGCAAGAAAGGCTCTAGAGGGTCTAAAGGGGATAAGGGAGACCAAGGAGCACCTGGATTAGATGCACCCTGTCCGTTGGTATGTCCTGTTTCATCAAATGTATTGTTTTAAGATGTGTTGATGGGGAAGACAGAAGGAAATCATAACATAAATAATGGTCTTGCAAAAGTGCAACATTCAGATAAGGCCCAGCTGGGTTCCCACCACAGCCTGAGACCAACTGATCCTCTGAGTGACCATGGTTATGTTCCTTCCTCTTCCAGACCTCACAAAAGTTTGGGTACATGGGGTGTCCCACGTGCTGGGAGCACAGGGCTTTCTCCACTGTGGATAGAGCCCTGTCTCCTTTGCTGCTGGTTCTTCTCTGGAGATGCTCAATGAGATCAAATCTACGTGGCAGCAAAACTGGAATGCTGGTTTCCTTGCCTTGGAATAACAGCCAGCTGATGTGATGGCCTGAGAGCACACAGGGCACTTGAGCTGCACTACCCAGAGGGAAAACAAGTCTCGGTTATCCTAAATGGGATGTGTTTCTGTCATAACAGATTGGCTATAAGTCTAGGCAAATGGATAGATACAGGAATATGTGTACATTCTTACCTAAATTCATACACTGCAGCAAACACTGCCAAAAATCTGCTAGCAGTGCCACAAATCCCAAGAGTTCGTGGGGATCATGCTTTTAGAAATCCAGCTGCTGGGTTTCTTAGTGAGGATCGGAGGAACAGATGATTTTGGAATGGAGGAAACACCGTTCCCATCCTCTCAGCTTTAACTCAGAGAACTTGTAGATGACAGAAAACCAGCCAGGAAACTGCTGCTGATGCAGGCACAGCTGACTGTGCAGACAGGGCTCTGTGCTGGGTGTGCAGCTGAGTGCCCTGTGCCAGTCCCAGCAGGGACTCGGCCTCTCCTCCTGGGACATGGAACCGGCTGGCACTGACTGAAATAACGATAGTGGTTGATTTCATAAACAGGGTCTCCGAGGTTTTAAAGGCGAGAAGGGTGAGCCGGGGCTACCTGGGCTGGACGGCCTGGATGCCCCATGCCCATTGGTATGGTGTACCTTCCCTTTCCTGCATGCTCGTTTGCTTTTTGGCTCTTGGTGCTATTTTCTGATCCCCCCACCAATTTATGATCCCATGCCCTCGAAACACCCAGCAGTTCCTTCCTTACCTGTCTCCATACTCCCTTCCTCTCATTGCTGCTGTCAGAACCAGGCCCTTCCCTTCATTCTGATTCCCAGCTGCTGTCAGCAACACTTTGTGGCATGAGAAAAAATAGTTGGAATGTGTTTTTTTTAAAATGGCTTCACTTCCTCCTTTGCCTTCACTTTGACAATTTCCAGTAAATCAGTGTATGCAGACCCAGCTCTGAGCTGGCTTGGCTTCCTCACAAGGAGCTGCAGTGCTTGTGTCCTTCATTAACTCTATTTTTAATGCTTGTGTGTGATGAGCACAGCCTGACATGGTTACATATACCCCATATGTGAAGATGACTGAAAATAGTAGTTATCCCATAAGTAAGCCCATGTGAAACATATTAATGGGGACACTTAACCTCCCTGCTGGATAATTCCTATTTATGACTCTCCCCAAAAGTCCAAATTGTATCCATAGCATCCAAAAAACTTGTATTTAGTATTGCCTCTTTCCCAATATCCATCTTATTCAAGTGATAAAATGATTGCTGTATTAGTGCCTAATCTAGCCCAACTGTTGCAGGACAAAAGTACTCAGAAACACTGAACCCCAACTATTTATCCCAATAAAGGTCACCAATTTATTTATTTTCTCTGAGTTTTCTGAAGATGTAGCAATTCAGGTGATGTTTTTGCTCCCTGGGACAGTCTCAACATCTCTGTAATACGAAGAAATTTGTCCTGCCCTGCCCATCCAGCCCTGTTTGGCATGACAAGGTTTGCTTGAGGGTGGTCCTGTCGAGCTTTAGGCTCACTTAAGAATGTTTGATGACATCTACAAGGGATGAGATATTGTTCAGCTAGCTGGGAAAAATAACCCTAAGCAAAAAGCCACGTTTAGTTTGAAAGGTTTTCCTGGTTTCTTGAGGGGGAAAAAACCCCAAAACCCCACCATGAAAATGCCATTTAAAGCCTTTGTTATCTAGCTTTGTGAAGAGCCAACATCAATTTCCTTCCAGTGTTCCCTCCTGTGTGTGCTGCCATTGCCTCTTTGGGGCAGTGACCGCTGGTAAAGTCTTACTTGCTGCTCTGTAACTTCTGGGTAGTAGAAAGTTCTTCCAGTCCCAGGAGTGAAACCAAACCTGCCCAGAACAGTGCACAAAGGAGGAAGACCACAGAGCTGTGTGTTTTGTCTCCCAATGATCAAAGCCAGGTTCCTATGGAATAACTTCAGGCTGAAGGTGCCTAATTTCACAGGTGCAAGGGTTCCACCAGTGTCCTGGCAGATGACCTTTCTGGTTTTGTCACTGCTCCCAGTGAGGATTCACCCCACATGGCCATATTTGAACTCACACTTCTTTTCATACCTATTTTTGTTAAGGGAAAATTGCCAGAAAATCTGATGAAATATGGATGCTGTTATTTTTTATACATAGTGTTCTGGCATGCAAGCTAGCTTGGGAACGTGAATAAGCATGTTTTTTGATCCAACTAGGTTAAAAGCTTAGCATCCAGCTGACACATCCACGTGTGTAGCTTATGGAGGCTGTGAACTAACTCTCTGCACATCTGAGATATGTGGAAGGAGATCCTTGGTACTAATAAGCATGCCATGTTTCCGTTCTCGGCACATTCGCCCGCAACAAACACTTCCTTGTGACCCTGGTCTTCCTTTGATCCCTAAGCTGTCACTCCCTGGCCTCCCATTCCTTCATACACCTAACTTCCCAACTCCTCCTGCCATGCACTGTACCAGTCATTCCTGTCACCACCAGTGTACCAATGGGAAAACCACAATTTACCCAGTAAATAACTTGCAATTCTGGATTTCCGCTTAGTTGGGGGAAGGGGCACAAGGAGACCAAAGTCCAAAAAATGCATTTGAAAAGCAATATTGTTATAACATCATGGCAATTTTCAGTTCATCAGCCCCCTGGAATTGCATCTCCAGTAAATAGTTAATTTCTTGATATATTACTGTGCATTTGCTTTTCTGTTTGTATTTTTTTGGGGTTTCCTGGGGAATAGTGATAGACTGTGAGTCTGCCACATGCACATGGCACAAGAATTTGACTTCTCGTGTCAGAGATGTATTTCCTTAAACCTTGACTTTTATATGCTGCTTCAGAGCACCTTAGCACTGGTGTCATATCTAGCCTGTCAAAGAGGGCTGCACAGGGTTGAAATGAATGGCAGTCATCTACAAAAGCATTTCCAAGCCATGGAGCCCAAAACATCACAGTTGTAGGAGTGCCAGGGGCTTTTCACACAAATCCCACTGATGTTATTGAAGCCAAAGTCCCTTTTCAGGGAGTCAGCTGAGACATCCTGAAGCAGCAGAGGGGCTGCCCAGCTGCTCGCCTTCCTAATTTCCTTGGAGGAGGATCTCCCCAGAGGCAAGAAGAGATAACTGGACAGTGTCTAACATGACAAAGCAAACCCTTTAACAGGCAGGGCAGAAGGAAATGGAGATTTTTTTCCAGACCCTCCTCAGGGTCTGAGGTTAGTCCTGACTCTGGGATTGGCTTTTAAGCTCAATGTTACAGAGCCAGGCCTGAGGACACACAGCAGCCACCTCTCACTTTCCACTGCCAGCCCCTGGCAGTGTTTATCAGGCTGAGTTGGACCTCCTGGGTTCCTTGTTGTCTTCCTTCAAGGAAGCCTGGATAGACTCCTTTCTTAGGGGAGAGTGGTTCTCGGGTACAAAAGTCCCTTGCACAGCCTGCAGGCATTTCCCCTCTTCACCCCAGCCCCTGCTTCAGGCTGCACTGGTTCTGCCAGCCAGAAGTCTGGGTCATCCAAAGGGTGAGGAATATCTCTGACTATTCCTCCAGCCCTGGTTCAAACTGTTTGTTGCAGTAACAGTTAACCCATGCCTTCCTTTCTCCATCTCTGTGCTATTTTCTGTGTCCTAAACTGCTGTTTCTTCCATCTTTTCCACAGGGGGAAGATGGCCTTCCAGTTCAAGGCTGCTGGAATAAGGTAATCTTGGAAATGTTGCTGTGCTGAGTTGGCAGTGCCATGGCTCCTGCTAATGTTTTTCCATGAATCTGGCTAAGGGCAGAAGAGGTGTGGATGCATGGATGGGATTTCCAGGACTGTATCCCAGAAAAGTGGCAACCAAAACTCCACCTTATTTGTGTATCACAGTTCAGCTCTGTGGACTACAAAGGAGAGAGCTGTATCTGTGGCCTTTGGGCTGCCTGGCCCCAAAGTGCTCTAATGCTTGCACAAAGATGAGATTTCCACCCGGGTTCAGGTGCCCCCCGCACTCCCCGGTGTCTGGCCCACCTTCAGTGCCCACTGTGGCACTCCCAAGTGCTCAAGCCACAGTGGGAGGCAGAGTCAGCCTGGGATGAATCCCCCACCCTTGCTTTGCCACCTGGAGAGGCAGAAAAGGTCCCTGCTGAGATCCATCACCATTGCTTTTCCTCCTGGAGAGCCCAGAGCCAGCTTCCCTAACAGTTTCCATCCCCCCATGGCGTGGTCCTTGCCCCTGTGGGCTGTCACTAACACTTGTTTATGTTTTCTTTTGCAGTGATGATTCTAACCCTGGACTGACCTGTGTGTGTTACTGTACATAGAATATTTATTTTTATACGGTGTTCTTCTCTGAAATGCCAAAAGTTAAGCATTTTTACAAATTATCAAAAAGTGACATATTTTTTTTGTACAGAAAATACTAGATCTCCCTTTTTCCCCATTTGTCAGTTCTCTATATGATTCTGTGTCTGCATTATGCTTATTTTGTCATGGAGTACAGCTGTAATATTTACATGGTATTTGTGCACACATGATGAATATAGGAGCTTAATAAATTATTGCATTAAAAGTGCCCAAAGGAACTGCCCTGTATAGATTTAAAGGTCATTTTCATTTTTCAAGCTGGATCATTCAAGAATATTTCAAAATATTATGTATTTTTTATTAAAGTGAAATATTAACACTTCTGTTGTGATGAATTAAAGTGTTGCTGAAAAACCTCATAGTAGTCCCTGTGCACTGGGAATGTAGGGACACCATAATCTATAATTATCCCCCCATGAACTGGAATAACCCTCATGAAAACGAGCCCTGGTTAGCAAGAAATTCTAATCCCTTTCTAAATTGCAGGCCTTCAAGCAGCTTAATTAAAGCCTTATTTAAAATTAAGCATAACGCAGCATACCTTGATACCCTAGCAAATGTGTTTGTGAAATCAATCCACGTGGCTTTTAAAAATGTTTACCGAAAGTGGCATGCGAATTTGCAGAGTGTATAATCATAATTTGCATATGCACATCTTAATTATCCTTCCTGACCTACCTTTGTTGATGTCTCAAGTCTAAACTACCTAGAGAGGAAAACACTACCAGGCTAAAGTGAACATAACAGCGTGCTTTGCTTAGAAAATGAGGGGGAAAGTGGAAGGCTAAATCTATTCTCTAAGAGATGTCTACTTGTCTTGGCCCTTCACACAGTGGGCAAAGGCAGTGGGCAAAGCAGGAGCCTCAGTGGGGAGCTGCCAGTATTTAATGGTCCCAAAGGAGAAACAGGAGTGCTGATTTATTAGTGAGACTGATCCACTGAGGTCCTGCTCTTTGCCACCACAACAGGAATTTGGCTCCTCCTGGCTACAGCTGTGCCAGTGGAAGGGGTCACCACCGTGATTCTTCCTGTACTCAACTATTCATCTGTTCACAAACTATTAATTGGTTATTTTTCCAGATGATTCCATGCAGCTTCTTAGCACCAGCATCATAAAGTGACAGAGAAGGGACGTAGTTCCCTCGTACACAGTCCTGCTGGGGACTGCCCAAGGAACCCAGCCCAGGCTCTGACTGCTGTAATCCATCTGTCACCTCACACTTTCAGAAATTTATTGAATTTCATCTACAACCAGTGAGGTTTCCACTGTCCTGTGTCCTTTCCCTCCCTGCCCTGCAGGCTGTTCCGACTCCAGTGCTCTCACAGTTAGGAAACTCCTTGTGACTCTTTCAACCTAAGGGATTCTCGCTGGTTTTCTCAGTAATAGATGTTGTTAATAAAAGCCTCAGCTCCCTGTTAAAAGGCTTTGCAGCTGTGAAGCTGAGCTAATTGGAACAGCTAATGTTCCAATTGTGTTTCAATTGCACACCTGTTAAAGCAGTTACTTTAAGTTACCAAAGCCAGGTGTACTCCTGCTTTGGGTTTGGAAGGTTGTAGTAGCAGTAATATGTTCTGCTCTGATCTCGAAGCATTCAGCTTCAAGGTAGGATGTCTGAATGCTTCAGTCCCTTCTAAAAATCCTGGCTATTCTTAATCCTTAAAATCACAGAGATCCCATGGAGAACCTGCCAATGCTTACCGTTCCCTTTGGTCTTTGTAGCATGGTTTCTGTGTAGCTGGTCTTTATGATTGCTCCGCATGGGATTGCTGTTGGTTGTTTTTATCTGATCCAAGAGCAAAGCAAGTGCATCTCTGTTACCTCGTCCTGACACAGCTCCTGAAAGGTTAAGGACTCTCAAGGTGATGCTGTACCTGTTTTGTTTCTTGGGCTGTTTTCTGATTGCTGTATTTGTCAGAAAGCTCTTGCCTGAGGTGTAAGGGACCTTGAAGTGAAATTGCCAGAACTCTCGAAAATACCTAACTTGGGTCAGCAAAGACTTACTGGGAAAACGTGTAGGGTACCCACTCATTTAAAGGTTGGGAAAATGGTGACAAATGTTCCCTGTGGCTGTGGCAGATTATAGCCTGGGATTGGAATTGAAGTACCAGGTAACCATTTTGGATTGCTGTTCTACAGCCCCAATACTGATACAATCTCATCAGCTGCTGGGGATAGACGAGAGGGCTCAAATCAGTGATACCACACTGAGCTGCTGCTCTTCCCAAACCCTAAAGCATGTCAGAAGAAACCCAAGCGTGGCAGCTGGGTTTGTACCACCCTGAGTGTGGCAATTTAGTTTCAGGCTCTGTCCCTACTAAAACCTGTAACCAGGCTGCTGTTGCTGTGGATTCCTGTCAGTTCTGCCTGTCTGTTTTCATGTGAAACCTTTTATCTGCCACTTCAAGGGTCAAACTCCTTGGCTGATAGCCAGAAAGTGAGTCTGAGGGTGGAGAAGCTTGGGAAATGGCAGCAGAGTGAAAGGAGAAGGAAGACCTTCCTGAAGATTTGCTGGAGATGTTTTGCAAGTTCCCTCCCTGGAGCTTGGGAAGAGTTCCTCAGCAGTGCACCAGGAATGTGTGCCCAGATGCTGGGGCTGCGGGAGCTCGGCGTGCCAGCGCTTTCTGCTTTGCTTTCTGTTTTCTCCCAGAGGCCAGTGGCAGGGGTTGAGAATGGCACCATTTATATTCTTTTTCTTCGGTCATTTTAATTTCATTCTACTATTGTGGTCAGACTCTTCAGATGAAGAATTAAGCTCATTTTCCAGCAGCAGCTACATAAATGAGTGCAAGACACAATATTTCTGGGAGGGGATCCTTTGATCCAAGAAAGAAACCCTTCTTGAACATTTCTCTTTAGAAGAGCAGAGAAACCCCCGTATTCAGTTCAGGGTGCTGCTCAGAGAGGATGTGATAACACTTTTTGCTACCATTTCTGGTTACCAGGTGACAAACTTCCACCTGTATCATTGATGATTCCATCTTGAACCTTTTCATCACAAACTTTCTTCTCCTGTTTAATTATAAGAAAATGACATTGCTTTGTTTGGGTTTTTTTAAAACCATACTGGATTCTGAAGGCATGAAATATGTTGTCAGAAGAGGAAAATGTGGAGTGTGGAAAAAGTCTGGTTTCACTGACTAGTTCCTTTGCTTCCTTGTGCTTTGGTCTCCACTGCACCCTCTGGATGTACTTTGTCTGGAGCCCTCCAGAAATGGTTTCTGCTGGCCCATTAAGATCCTTTTGTGGGTACATCTCCACAGATGTACATCCAGGTAGAAAAGAAGGATCACAAAGGTTCAATTCCACCGTTACATGTTTTAATATGTTCACTAAAGGGAAATAAAGATTGGGCAAAGTGCTGAGGGCTTCAGAGGACGTTTCCCAGCTGCCTGAAGGGCAGAATATACAATACTGGATACTTCCTGCCAGCTGCCATGCAAACCTGGCATCCTTTACTCCGCCCCCACTGCTGAAGGTTAACATGGAAGCTCAAGTGTCTTCCAGCTCTTGCAATTTATTTAAAAAAAACAACCCAACTTAAAATAAGTAACTATCTTTTGAACCTGACAAAACATCTCTACTTCCCTGAGTGCATTGGGAATCCCGTTTGCCCAAGTAGTAAACCACATATTTAATTTTAAGGGAGTGACTCCCGCTGGCCTAAATGATGTCATTTGCATATTGAAACACTTGGGTGAGGCAGGGCCATTGCTATTAGAGCTAATGAATGACATCTCAATCATTAGACAGATCCAAGCCCTAAGCAATTCGCATTACAATGGGGAGAAAGTGCTGATTTCAAGCTCAAAGGGATGCTATTAACCCAGGGTAATCCCAGATTCAAACACTGTTTGTCAGCACAAGTGGAATCATTCTGATCTTCTGATAAGGACACACGTACCTGACACCCATCTCCCCTCTCCAATGCACAGGAAGCCTACTGTTAAAATAAGTCCAGGTTTGCAAAGATTGGGGGAAAAGTCCTACTTTCAGGTTCATCTGAAGAACAGATTTTTTTCTTGAGGTTTCTAACAGATGTGTTCAGGAACTAGAGTAGCGGAGGGAGGAATTGTTTCACTTGGAAACCAGGTGGAAAGATTAATTTATTTGTATTTTTTTTTTAATTTTTACTTTTTTGGGGTGGGCAGAGGGAGAACCTGACCAGAACTGCAGGCGGTAGGTGTGCATTTTTCCTTCTTTTTTTAATGAAAACCATTGTATATAGTTTGATAATGTTACTTTTACTTTTTGTTAATGATTTTGGGGGGCAATTTGTTTGCTCTATTCTGTTGTGTTTTCTTTTAGGTATATTTTTAATGGGCTTTTGGAATTCGTGCGTGAAAGTTCCTCACCCAAAATGTCCTAAGGACATTCCTGTTGTGTTTTTTTCTCCCCAAGTTCAGTAGTGAAAAGGTGCTTTGTGTCGGCAAACCTGTTTTTAGTGGGGATAAACATATCCCCAAAGGCCACACCTAGGGACCAGGCGCCAGTGACCTCTCCCAGACAAAAAACGCTCCCTCCACAACTCTTCATTTACATTTACAAAGTTCGAAAGGGCTACGTTAGGGACCAGCCGACTGGAAATGGTCTCTTCCCACCTCAGGTGGTCTGTTTGAAAGCCGTGAAGTCTGGCAAGAGTCGCTGTGTCCTCTTCAGCAGCGTTCTACAGCCTGAAATCACAGGCTTGGCTAGAAAGAGCTGAAAATTAATTTAGAAAGACGTTTATTTGAAGATGGCAAGTTCTTGCAGGGTACCTGCTCAAGTATTACTGTCTGTTGCTATTGTTTTCCCTCCTCTGGATCCAGCAGCACACTCGGGTTCAAGCTTAGCTTTAGGCTGTGCTTCACCCTGAGCCTTTGTGCAAATGCTTTGCTGGATAAAGGTCTCCCCTTCTTTTACACTTTGGTTCTTTTTCTTCTCTTCCCCTCTTTTTGTCCCTATTTCCTCCGGCTGTCTTTGATCCAGACAAAATAATTGCTTTCTTTTCTGCATTTTCAGAAAATCTTTGTTGGTTACTTTTTGATCATTTTCCACTCACTGTTAATATCTACCCTTCCTTCCATCCTTCCTCCCTCCTTGTAAGCCTTCTTTGGTTAACATTTTGGTCTGACAACATCGTGACAAAACATGAATTAAGATTGTAGATGTTTGTGATTTATTTTAGAGTTGACTGTAAAGCTTTTACTGTTTAAAAGGCAGCAAGGGCAGTGTAGTTTTGTAGCTTTCTTACGATTTTGCTTGTTCTTTTTTTAAACGGAGTTAGAATATTGCAGATTTTTTTTCCAAGAAAAACCTGCTAAGCTTTTTTTTTTTTTTTCCTGCAAAACATGAGTTTGTTGAACTGCTGTTTCAAAGCTCAGTAAGTTAGATATTAATGGCAGGTACGAGAGGACTGAATGTGGAGCTTGTGGAGTGCAACTTACACTATTGCTTTCCGTGGTATGCTGTTTGTCAGTCTCTTGTCTCCGGTGGGGGTTTGCTGGGAGTGTGAAATTCCATTTTGTGATAATTCCATTGTTTTTTTCACAGTCAGGTTTCAAAATGTTGCTTCAGTAAATCGTTCCTTTTGCTCTCCTGCAAAGATTTGCTTTTACCCTGATGTTGCACCCTACCAGCAGTGCCACAGACCGAGCAGATTCACCCTTTTTTTGAGCCTTCCACAGAAAGAATGTTAGCTCCTTAAATTCCACAGCCTTTTCTGGGTGATGTCAGTGAAAAGGAGAGGGAGGCAGCAGGACAGTGCAGGCCACCATAAACAGACTCTTCTCTGAGTCTGGTCCCTCAGCATTCATTCATGACCTGCCCCATTCCTACTCCCTTTGCTCTGTTATTCCTTGTTCTCACTCATGTTACATTTAAAGAAGGGAAAACTGAGGCAAAGCATTCGTTGTGTTCACCCCCACCCCAAAAGGGCTGAGATTATCCCCCTGATGCAGGAGGAACAGCCTGACCCCACACCATTCTCATGGCTTTAGGGATACAGAATGAACTCCATCCGGATGCTGAGCAGGCAGCAATGGGCACACTTTCATCCCCAGGGGGTGCAGTGAGTGGCTGTGGGGAGGGGTTTCTCCCCATGCTCCGGCTTGGAGGTGGCTGGGCTGTCCCTCATCCAGCTGGCTTAGCTGCTCCAAAAAGTCACATTGATCCCCTCTCGGCCTTCAGAGTCCTCAGAGCAACAGGAAACACACTGGATGGCCTTTCCCACACCTGGAATGCTCCTGTCATTGGCACTGCTCCAGTTTCTCATCTTTGTGTCACTTGGACACCAAATTCTTTGGTCCTGGGACACCTTCTGTCCAAGATCTGCTCGTCAGCCAACACCAGACAAACACTAATGACCTGCAGGAGAATGATTTCTGAAGCAACTCTGTGTCCTTACATATCTGGTTTCCTTGTATTTTACAAGAGAAGTTTTTTTTTCCCCTTTGATGGCATTGGATGTAGAATATTTATTGTAGCTGTAGTAAAGTGATGAATTGTGAGTAGACCTTGACAGGGCATTGTTTCTGTGTTTCTCTTATAGACACTGATCAATTGATTGAGATGTTTAAATCTGAATACATTTTTTACATTTTTTTTCTCTTCACATTGAGCTTTTCAGCCTGTATATTGAATATCCAATGTTATTTGGCATTGATTCATGTATGTGCTGTGTTTACTTTTGTGTTACCAGTAATTTTTACTGTCATTGTGCTGTTTCTAAGACATTATTTCAACTCCTTTTGACATAGTTTAGCTACTTGGAATTTTTTGGACTTTCACAAAGTTCCTCACTAAATAATTGCTAGAATGAAGAGAACAAAGGGCTGCTCTTTCCCACAGGCTTTTCAACCTCAGTAGGAGCTTCTTCAGCCAAAATGAGCATTTGACTTTTGTTTTTTGCTTTTTTCTTGATAATACAATAGTGGTGATTTGTTTGGTTTTTAATCCTGGGAATTCTGAATTCCATGTTGACCATTCCTAGCATTATTTTACAAAAGCAGAGACAGCTGTGCCATAAGGAGTGATGCTGATCGTAACAGAACTAAAATATTGTAATTATTTGGTGTTTCTTTATAAATATTTTTTTTTCACTATTAAGTTTTTAAGCAAATCTTTTTTCAGTGTGATATAAGATTAAAAAGACACTAAAGGACTAAATACTCAACATGTACAAGGAAAGGGATTCAGGTAAATTATTTCCATCTGTAGGACTGAAAAATAGCTTAGGAATTTTTATGTCAGAACAAAAGCTGAGTTTAAGTTACACATTTCCTGAGTCCATTTATTAATCCAGTGACTTCAATGAAACCATCACTGTCCTGGAAACCAGAGATACACTTAAAGAACCCCCTGAATCCACTCCTCAGTAGTAAATAAAGCTGGGTTTTGTAGAAGTAAAGTGTTGCTTAAATACAGTACCTTCAAAGCATTTCTGTCTTCTTGTAAAAATAGGAATTTTATGTTTAATCACCAAGTACCTATTTATCAGATAAAGAAGCCAGTGCTGATATTATCAGAGTAGCTGGTTTATATTGTGATAAAAACTGCTATGCAGAGCTGTATATTATAATTTTAAATGCCTTACCTTAGTAAAGTCTTGACATTAATTATCTACATTAGGAGAACAAATATGTGAGAATTTAGGAGGAAGTTTTATTTGGGGAATGGGTTTTTGGATAACTAAAAGTGGGCTAAAAAACCAGGCAGGAGGTTATGAAAAATATCTCTGGCTGGGAGGATGGCTGTAATGGTAAACATGACATTATATTTAAAGTGTCATCCCAATATTTTCCAAGAGGAGTCTGATGAATTCCTTGTGCCTTGTGTTGAAGCTTTACTCCTTTGTGTCAATGTTTTAGTGAGGTTTCTACTTTAATTTATAAATTAAATACATACATAGATACCTATTCCAGTACAGTCTGTTTTTGTTCCCTACGATGTACATACTTTCTTCTCCTTTTATAAAAGTGCCTGTTTACCTACACATAGTTTGTGTCTTTTGTAAATGACACCACATGCAAATCATAGCCCATAAATTCACTTAGAGGTGAATTCACTTCCCCTTTGTGGGTGGGTTTTAGGTTCCCAGGCTGAGGCAACCACGCCATCTGCTGTTTGCCAGGCAGGCCCGGGAACTGTGGAACTGGTGGGAAATGGTAACGGTTTAGGAGAGAAACCTCGATGGATTTAGGACAGAAACATCAAAAAGACTGTTATCACTATAGAATTAGATGTCTGGAGAGAGCTCAGAGTCCTACCCTAGTGCTTTTGCTAAGGGAAAGGCAGCAACATCTGCAGAGCACTGGACACTGTGGAATCTGCAAGGGAGAAAGCCAGCCTGAAACCTCCCATGGCACCAACAGCAGCTTGCTCTTACAACAGGAATTAATCAACCAGAAGTCACAAACACACACTAATTGTGGAACTGAGAGAACAAGGGCAAAGAGGGGAGAGACAGACTCTCTCTATTATGCCCATGCTAAAATTATTGTAATTACCAGCTTTGTGTGTTGTCTTTCCTTGAAACTGAGAGGAACAATGGGAAAGTGTCCATCCATCTCTCCCTTCCCTCAGCTTAGGGGTACAGCCCTTTCCCTCCCCTCTCCTGTGTGCCCGGGTGTGTTTCTGTGTGAGCCCAATCACCAGTGCAGTGGAGGTTCCTTGGAATGAAAGTGATGTGATGAAAAAAGCAAAGGTGTGCTTCACTCCTGACCTCTGGGTACAGACAGTGAGCTTGGAGTGTGAGGCAAAATCCTCGAGGATCTGGTTGTTTAACAATGACAGAAGCATAAAGTTATATAAGAAAACAAACATGTTTTGATGATCCAGCTTGGAATGGAGTATGTGTTTGAAACTTTGGCTTTTATCATTCCTTAAGGCTTCAAGTTCACTCTTGCTTATAAACTGATGGTTCCCTGGAAGACTAGTGAAATCTTGCACTTGCACAATAAATAAATAAATGTTCTGGAGGTTTGCTCTGTCCTGCCTCAGACAAACGTGAGACCCAAAGTTTGTCTTGTTTCAAAGCATTTTCATTTATTCATAGGACACTGTTGAGATTTTTTTTTTTCCTTTAGGGCTCTGCAGTTAGCAGGAAAAAATAGCTAGTGAGGTGAATTTTCTTGTTTTAAATTAAACTCAGGAACAATTATGAAAGCAGACAAACAAGCAATGCTGTGCTGTCCTTACCTGTGAGGCTGCTCTGAAAAGAAGTTGCAGCTTATTGGTCCCAGTTAGGCAGACAATGTTCTTGTCTGTGTCACGAGAGGTGAAAGGAAATGTGTGTCACTCCTCCAAACTACACCAGGGGGTGTAAAAGCAAAGGGACAGACATCCTTATTAGCACAGGAATAATCAATCAGATCTAAGATTCCTCTGCAACACGGTGAGAAGTGGGAACTGTGATCTCAGCACAGATCTGTGGAGGGATCTGGAGCTGAGTGACTCGGTGATCAAACAGTCCAATGACACATTGCTGCATCTTTGCTCCTCTGACAAACAAATACAGTTCTGCAAATGCCAAACCCAAATCACTGCAGCAGGAGTCCCCAGTCAAAGAATGCATCACTTTCTGCACCAAAAGCTGACTATAGTAAATGCACAAACATTGTTGCAAGTAGTTTTCTTTAGGAAATTCACAGGGATAGAGGATTTTCTGCCTCTTAGCTTGGCAGTGCTTGGTTATCACACTGATCGTGGCCAAAATCACTCACAAATGTATCATTTTATCCATCCAGCCTTCCTCAAACTCAGAAACTGAAATAGGTATTTTAGCAGTTAATGTAAAAATTGCAGTCCTGGGGAGGCTCAGAGCACCAGACCCAGAGCATCAGTACTTTCTTAAGTCACCACTCAAGTTTCCTTAGCTGGAAGTCCTGATCTGTTCTAATTCTTTGGAGAAGCCATTCTATACTTGTGATTCCCCCAATTTTCCCTATCCCTTTCTGGCCATTCTTTCTGAGTTGTGGAGAGGGATCCTACAATGTATTCCTCAGCTGAAAACAATGTTATTTTCTGGGATTTGTTACCTTATTTTTTATTTCTTTTCATTCTGAAAGATATATTTGTAAATCTCCATTAGAAAAAAAAAAGAGTAATGTTGATTGTGATTAAACATTCAATTAGTATTTAATTTTATGACTTAGGAATAATTAAGACAATGATGTCTGCAGTAAGCATAGCTGCATTTAAGGATAAGTAACGAGGATTAAAACCTCCTTTTAAAGGATGAAAGGACATCTTTGATATTTTGTTAAGCTAATAAGCTACATTTAACTTTTAGAATCAGTTGTTGCTTGGGGAGGAAAGACCTTTCCCCTTGCTTACACACTATAGCTAACCTGTGACTGCAGCCAATCAGCCTGTTAAACAACATGTCACAAACAAAGACTTTAAATTCTGAAGTACATGGGATGGTCTAATTTAAGAAAGTACTATTAAGGGGGAGTTCTCCACAAAGTTAGGATGTAGCTTTTCTGGCTTCTTTAGCCCACTATACCCAATCTACTGGCGTAACAAGCATATAAGCAATATGAAAGGTGGAGGAAGGGTTAAAGTGGCTAAAAAATGAGAAAAAAAAAAGTTAATTACAGAAATATAGATTAGTTACAGAACTCAGTTGTTACAGCTGTTCTCTATGACTGTAAGTACAGATACACATCCACTTTGATTGTATTTTGTTAACCTGATGTCAGGGCAATGCTTACCCTGATTTGATCAAGTTCCCTGGATTATACACACACATAGAATAGAGCTTTTGGAGTACTCGGTATTCCTGTCCTGCCAGGATGGCCCTGAACGCCTGCCAGCCCTAGCAAAGCCCTGTCTCTGGGTTCTGGAGCTATGAAATATTCATTGCAATGTTGGAGATGGAACAGCTTCTGCCCCAAAATGAGAGTGCCATAAACAGGCTGTTTCCCCCGCAGCTGGGGAGTGAGGCAGGCAGCAGGCTAGAAATGATCAGATAGATGTGTTGTTTATTTTGACAAAGTACCAGATTGTATTTGCGCTCGAAAGGCAACAGGCAGATGGTCCTTGCACAACCTAGAGAGGGCAGGCCCCGCTCCTGCTGTGTGGGAAAAGCTCTGCTTGACTCCAGCATGGCACAAATGAGAGTTAGTAACAGTTCTTCCTCGAACAACTCCACCTAAATGGCTGGAACTTACAGGTACTGTGACCAGAAATCTCTTATCTGCTCTAAAATGCAGCTGGTTCCAAGGGTACCATCACTGCAGAACAAGTCACACCCGGTAAATGTCCCAGTGTTGCCTTGCTCCGATCTGCTGTACTCAAAAATTCTTTATTGTGTCACAACGTGACTCTGAATCTTCCAGAAATATTTGAAGCAACATAAAATATCCACGTAATGCTGTTAATATTTAGGTTAAGGATAGGCTGTATCCACTGGAGAAATAAAGAGTGAAATATGAGTTTATGGTGAGACTATTAAAAATCACAACAGCAGGAAAATTGGTATTAAAATTCAGACATCTACAACTGACTTGAGAAGCGTTACACTGTGAAAATCTTCGATGTCCTCTCTCACACTTCTCCAGCACTCCTGTTTCCTTCAGGAGAATGTTGTTTATTAACAGAAAAATGTTGTTATAAACAGAGCGACTTCTCCTAACGTTGAAAGTTTGCCTCACAAGAAGACTTTTTTTTTCTCCTTGAAAGACCTCCCACATGCTCGTGTTCTTATCACACAGCAACCACTTGATGTTAAACTCTAACAAACTGGGAATGTTTTAAAAACCTTGGGTTGCTTATTTTGCCTCATCTCAAATTATTTTTAATTACAAAGCCACGTACGGCACGCATGATTGTCAGGGTTATTGGATGCAGTTATTTGTATCTGGCAATAGAAAAATGTAAACGCTTTTATTCCTTTTCACATGGGTTTTACATTGTCATTAATTTTTATGCTTAGTGCTTGAAAATCTTCCTGAGCTTCCTCCTACCCTCCTAGTATGGTTCAATACACTGACAAGCCTATAGGTATCTTCTTCCTTTGACAAATTCCAACTCTCAGTGGGCAAGATCTAGGTAAGGCTTCCTCTTACACATAAAATAAGTCAGACTCATGCACATGAATTTTTTCTCCTATGGTCTCAAAGCATCTTGACCTTGTTTTCAAAAAGAAGTGGGGAAGAGAACAGACTCCCAAAGAATTAATCCACAGCAATGCACTGAGGCTCTTACTCAATGCTTGAAAAGAGAAAAGGTATCTTTATTTCCATTTTAACAACAGTCAAAATACAGCTGTGTAAAGTGAACTGCTTTACCCAAGGTCACACAGCAGCCCAGGAAAACGCAGGTCCTGAACTCATGCCCTCTTTCTTCATGAGATGGTGCGATCCACAATTAACATAACCTGGGGAAATATTCCATTGCTTTTTTACCCACCAAATCCAATTCTATGCAGATACAAAATCACTTACTGTGGCAGAGCCAAAAGCCAAACTCAAGTGAATCTTTTATGATTTTTTTACAGTGGCAAAGAGAATGCTGAATGCATGAATGGTTCTTTCTCTCTCTGTTGTTCCCAGACACCCTCCTAAAGTAACACTGCAAGCAAGCAGGAGTGGTCTGTGTTAATGGTGTATCAGTGCATTACAGTAGCACCCAAATGTCCTTATAGCGAAATCAGTGCAACAATGCAAAGTATTTGTATAGGAATGATGATATAAACCCAGTTTGATGTAAAAATATACCTGAGATGAGTTAAAGAGGTGTAGCCCTGTACTCTCCTGTTTGCACCAGCCTCTGCTCACGGATTTGGCGCTGCCAAGACTCATAACACAATCGCTTATTGCGTCTCTTGGAGCTCGAGCTCTTGAACCTGTGCGACTGCAGGGAAGGAAAGAAAAACCCTCAGCTTCCATTCAGAAGGGAAGTTTGCAGCCCTCATGGACGAGTTGGAAAGCCTTCCAGCGCCCAAAACGCTCCAACGCGAGACAACACAAAGAGCTGCCGGCACTCTTTGTTACGGCCGTTCCAAGCCGACTTGGGGATGCTGGAGTATTTGGGTTAGAGGCACCATAGCGAGGCACGCAGGCCACCCTAGCAAAGGGACAGAGGGATGGGTGGCTCTCCCTTTAACAAAAACCAGGCGCTCCTTGAGCTTTAGCCCAATCTGGGATTGCCTCGAAACCTGTCCATCTCCGAACTCCTCCACCCTGGAAAAGGATGGGAAGGCTTTCTGCCTTTATGCTCCCGGCTACCGCAAGTCCACTGGGACTAGGGTCGGGGGGGCCCTTTCTTTGCTGGGCGGGGTGGGGGTTCCTGCCCCCACTGCAGCCCTGGGGCCCGGGCGAGGAGGGCGGCAGCCAAGAGAGGGGGGTTGTAGCGGGCCCGGGCTGCAGTGACTCCTCCTAGAGGCGGTATGTGCGGAGCGGGAGGAAACCCCTGCCGCCCCCCTCACCAGCAGCCGCCATCGCCATTGAAACATACAATACGGGGAGAGCGGCTGAGGCGGAGCGAGGGCGGGGGGAGCCGAAAAGGGAAAGTGGGGAGGAAAGGGGAGGGGGGGAAAGGAGAGGAGGAAAAGAGGGGGAGGAAAAAGAGGAAGGGAAGACAAGAAGGAGGAGGCGGCGGCAGCGGCGGCGGGCG